AGAATGGTACAACAAGTACTGTGTTTCAAATGTCGTGTTCAGATTGGTTTGATGTACACGATGGATTCATCGGATCATCAATTGTCAACAAAGATCCATTCATACTAGGAAAGGATTGAACACCATACACACGACAATAATAATCATATGTCCATTTCTAAATATAAAAACAAATCATTGGAAGAAGAACATGCGTATTCAATCAGCACTGACACTTCGATTGAAAATAAGTTCATTCGGATCGACAGAATATGAACCTGGATCAAGTGTCAGATTTTGTTGATGCCCACTTGTGATCATCGATGTACCAAACTGAACGAGATTTGCCGCAATATTTGATGAGACAATTGCTACAAATGCAGATGCTGATGATGTTAAAGCAGATGATGCAGCTATTGTGACATTCAAGATGAATTCATATGTGCCATACGGTAATGTTCGTGCTGGAATATATAGCTCATTGAAAGTTGTGTTTATCGACGGAGCTATTTGAATTTGAGAGGAACAATTCGTTTGAATACAATTATTGATTGTCCATTTCATAATTGTCGCAAGTGAAATGTTACACATCAATTGAATGTACGAACTAATAAAGAAATCTTGACTTCGTTGAAATTGTATGGGAGATGATAATGTTGATGTTGCGGGAATCAAGATAATTTTTGGTACAAAACAATCTAAATGGAATCCGATATTCAGATGAGTTATTCAACTATGAATTTTTGTAAGAACAAGGGTCGGATGTAAGCAAGACTTGTCCCTACATTTGGTTAGATCACATCGAGTTGTCTGCCTGAGGAATTTAATTAGATGAAATTAATGAGAAAGCTCACTTGTGCTGGAAGCCGAAGTCATATTTTCGCATTTAGTAACATTGATGAATATTGTTTTATTATAAACGAATTGGTTTGACCTCGATGTGTTACCACTATCTGCACCGTATATTGGCACCAGTCCTCCTATATCATCAAAAATAATATCGTTATTTTCCATGATTTGAAAGCCCCAATTGTATGTTGCAGCGATGTTATAAGTTAAGAAGGTAAACTTATTAGAATCATTTTGAACATAAGGAGTAACGTCAACGAAGCCAGAATCTGTATAAGATTGAGAAATAATCAATTGTTGGTTGACATATCCGTAGGATGTATCGTCTATGTTGTAAAGACGGATTGAATATTTGTCGTTTTTACCGGTACAACCTAACATTTAACAGAGACGTGCACTATTTTAGTTTATTTACATTACGAAGATTAATCTGAACGAAGATCTTGAGATTCAATCAATTTAATGATAGAGACACTTTGAAGGTTGGTCGCCAGCGAAAAAAATGTGCAAACAAACTAATGAATACATGAAAGTAACGATATGAGTGTTTAACTTCTAACGCTCGTAACATATTTTATATAAACGCTTCAAAGTATCGCCAGAAAACATTTTTTATATCTCTCGATGATGTAAAGCCTCGAGTACTATGAAATGTCGTAAAACCTTCGTTCGATGTCGCTTTGAAAACTCAAACATTCATCACGATAACTCACTTGTAGTTGGCGTTGTACTCACAATCGAGTATTTAGCAGTATTTACGGAAATCATTCTGTTGTAGACAAACTGATTTGGCCTTAATCTGCGGCTTGCGCTAACTGATCCAGCGATCCCTGCTGTATCGGCAAAAATAGTACTGTTGTTGTTCATGATTTGGAAACCCCAACTATATGGATTAAAAACATTGTATGCTAAGAAAGTAAAATTACTGATGCCATCGTGAATGTAAGCAGTAACATCGATGAAACCAGAATCTGTACGAAGGGATTGACGTGCAACATAGTGCTGATTAACGAATGCGTAAGAATAGTCGTCCACATTAAAAATTCGAATAAAATATCGATTATTGACACAACCTGTAATAAAACAAAAAGTAGTGTATTCAATTGATAATAATCATTTATGAACAGAATTCTTTAATTGTAAATATTAAACGATGGTTTTTTTTTACCAGATATTTCTTCGATGGCCATAAAAATTATCCAGAAATGATATTTCCAAAACGGCAACATCAATTATTGTTAAAAAACTCGATTTGATACGCTCGTTGAAAGAAAATAAAACACGATTAACAATCATTCACTCTTTATATTATCATAAATTTCTCTCTTTGCTTGTTTGTTTGGTTTTGCGCATTATTTCTCTCTCAATTCAAGTCTTTATTTTATTGAGAAAATTCTCTGGAAGTAAAATAACATTAGACACATTGTCGAGAAATCGTGTATACGAAATCTTGTCTTCAAAAAAGTTAGTTTTTGTGAAATGACCATTTTCATCAATGCCTGGCAATTAGACACAACTAATAATTGCAAGTTTGGCTTGAACAATACAAGATTTTCAATGATCTTTTATCATTGTAAGTTTTAAAAAAAGATAGTATCACAAAGTCAGGTATTGAATTTTAGTGTCAGCATAATGCAAAAAGACATCTTTTCAGAAGGATAAGACAGGAATATAAAGAATGTTACCGATCAAATGCTAACAAAACATACGTCAATAGAAATTGCGTTCATGTATATTTTATTTGTCTTTTTTTGTCTTATTTCTCACTTATTCATTTTCTTCTTTAACATGAAGAAGTCAATATTTGACTCTTCAGCAAACAGCTGATTTGTTGATATCTGTGATTTCTCTTGTTTTCAAGTGACTTCGAGGAGGGTTGATTTCTAAGTAACAGCCAGAAAAATCATCTGAAATCTTGGGTGTGATATGGAAATATATCATGATTTCGGCGATTTCTGGCTAAAAATCATTTTTTAAAACTACTACACAAAAATATAATCATTTGAATCTTTCTAAAAACTAAGTGTTCAATTTTGATAATTGTTGACGTAATTTATCTCCTTCTGCTACAAAAATATTTTCCAGAATATGATTAGCGACATCATCAACACTTTTGTCATTCGTCATACTAATATATCCTGTTCGTATCCAAGCAGAAGATGTCGAATCGGTTGAGATAACTTTTTCCATACTAATATAATTTGTAACAAACGACGATTGTGAAGCACTTGTTGACGTACAGTATGTCAATTCATAGTTTTCTCGATCATAAGATAATAAACTTCCATGAGATTTTGGTAATTGATCATTTAATACTCTGTTCTGAATATCAATATGTTTCCATAATTCACTCGCATTGATATTATATTCTTGTCGCCAGTATATCAATGGATTCGCTTGATCCTTCCTAGAAAATAGCTTCTCTTTGAAATTATTGCTTGTATACGATGAACACATCAATGTGGATGATAGTAACTCAACTAAGGAATCTAAACCACTACGGTAAAATGTGGTAACAATATCAGTTTCACTATCAAATGAAGCACTCCATGAAACAATCGCCGAACGACCATTATCATCTTCCATCACACTAAGTTTTGATGCGTAATTTTGTACAACTTTTCCCCACCCTCCGTCAATGTTTTTATACTGATATTCTCGTTTATAATTATCTAAAACTTGTAATTGTTCGATTGTCTCAATGATTTGTTCAAAGAAAACAAGTCGTCTTTTCACGAATAGTTGCTGTGGATCATCCACTTTCTCGCAAGCTGAGATTTGTGGGTGCCATTTGTGAATCGAAAAAAACCCGCCAATCAGCTTCCAGACAGCCTCAGCTGTATTGCTAATCCGAACAGTTTGTATGACATTAAAATGTCGTATAGTTGGGTGAGACGAAGCATTTATGAACTGCTGGTCCAATGAATAGTATGTTAATGGAATGTTAGCAGCAAATTGTATATGTACATTGGAAAAGTTCTCTCTTCTATATTTCGATACATAAAACGATGCTTTGTAATCGATATTAATACCATCATTGAACAACCAAGTAAAATCACGCCACATGGCTATGCGTGGCTTACGGTAGTCATCGTTGGTAGTTGAAGAAAAGAGTTGAATAGGAATTTTTAATGCGGTAGCAATCATTTCTATCTTACTTTGCCATTGTAATTGAAATTCGAGTTTCGAAGTAGCGTTGGCTTGATCAGTAAAAATAACAATTTTGTAACCATCAGAATGCAAATGTCGAAGTCGTGATATGACAAAACTATTGAACCAGTACCAATTCGAACCATTGTTGGGATTTGTATGGATCAATGTCCCTTCTAAATCGAATGCAGCTATTTTGGAACATGATGTGATGCCATCGCTTTCAAATACCAGCATAGAATGGCGTGTTTGCCATGTACCCACTCGATGTTGTGAAGTATATTGTCTTTTCAGTTTATCAGACAGCATTTCAGCCATAGCATAGATTGTCGCAGACGGATTCGCATCTATTTGAGAGCCAAAGCTGGATGCGTCACAGACTCGCAAAGATGTTGTTCCTCGAACAAGTAATTGCTTGTCAGTGCAAAAACCCATTCGACATGAACATGTGGGATGAAGGGCACTTTCCATAAACTTCAAGTATTCGTCAAAAGTGAGAGGACCTGGTAGAATTTCACCAGCGATCAGTTGACCGAATTCGGATGATTTGTTGAGTGTGTAGGATCGGAGGAGATGAACAGCCATTGAAAAAGTGTTTCTATCATTATCGCTAAGTTTTGTCCAGTTCAAATCGATTTCAGGTTTATCGAAGATTGAATTTGTCAGTGCTTTGACTGTTCCCGATGAAAAATCAGTGTTCTGAAGAGTAATGCGAAGGGTTGCAATCGTACCAGACTTTGATACATCACATCGATCGGCTTTTATTTCGGAACAAAATCGACTTGCATGAGTGAATCTTCCATCACTGGCATCCAGTACATAGATTTGAATATCTCGAATGTTCTTACTTTGATTTGTTCGAACGCCAGAATTGAATTGTACTAACCATGAGAAAGGACCATTCATGTCGTTAAACGTTTCATCACAATCATGCAATTGAACAATATAAGGAAGGCTGATGTGATCAGCCAGATATTTTCCTACATGAGTGTTATTGACTACTAGAGACACATTGATAGTCTGCAAATGATCAGGATCGCCTATACCGCTAACTTGAAGTAGATGGGGAGTCGCAAAAGCACCAGCAGCGAGGATAACTTCGTATAACGCAGTGATTCTTTTTACTGTATGTGAACTTGCATCGTAGTATTCCACTCCAATTGCTCGAGCAGTATCATCAAATATGATACGTGTTACTGTTGAATCCACAACGATCGACAAATTCGGACGTTTCAAAACCTCTGTTGTTAAATATCCTGTTTTACTGCTACCACGAAACCACGGTGATGCATCAGAAGGACGATATTTAAATTGCTCAAACATAGAACAGCTATGCGGTCTGTTGATAAGATCGCCGTTGTAATCGGGCGAGTAACCATTCCATGGTTGATTGGTATCATAACAAATTTCTCTAAAAGCTTGACTTACATTATGAAATAACAATGGATCGAGACTGTTGACTTGCATTGGACCGGATTTGCCATGATACAATTCACAATCTTCTGTTGAAATATTTGTCAACATATGATGGCAGTAGTGATCTTCTAACTTTTTATAATAAGGTAGGAAGTGTTCATACTGCCAACCTTCAGGCCNGCTGCTAAGAACGGCTGGTTAGAATCGATTTATAATCACATAACTTGCAATGTAGATGGGCCAAACGGCGAACATCATTTATTAATCAATCCATTTGGTTTAAATTATCGCGAAATTACTGCATCATCATTGGTGAAGATTGATTTCGATGGAAATACAATTCATCCAGGTGTTGTTGGCGATATCTTTGGAATAAACAAAGCTGGTCTCGTTATTCATTCGTGTATTCATCGAGCACGACCTGACGTCCGTTGCGTGAATCATAATCACAATTGGGCTGTTGCTGGTCTTTCAGCAACGAAGAACGGTCTGATTGAACTAGCACAAACAACACATATCACAGGAGAAATTGCTTATCATGATTATGAAGGAATTGTCATTTCAAACGATGAACAAGAACGTATTGTACGCGATTTGGGAGAAAAAGACGTGATGATTCTACGTAACCACGGTTTGATTACATGTGGACCATCGGTTGGTGCTGCATATTACCATGCGTATACATTGTGTGCAGCGGCAGAAATGCAAGCACATGCGTGTTCAATGGCCTTCAATAAATTGGATTTGATTATACCTGAAGATCGGTTGATTCAGCTGAGTATGGCGATTGCAAAGAATTTTAATGAAACTTCAATGGGAACGTTAGAATTTGCCGCAGCAATGCGTGAACTTGATTACGATCAAGATCATTCAACATATCCAAACTATCGAAATTGATCTTTTTTTCTTTTATATTTTTAGGGCGTGGGTAGCTATTTATTATCATAATGCGAATAAATGAATAGCTTAATATAAATATTCTTATTCTTGGGACAATTAGTGCGTATTCACGGAACAAAAAGCAACGTCAGAGGAAATTCGACGTTTTTGGATCAATGTACACCTAAATGAAAAATAAAAATAATCAGATTTAGTCACTATAAAACCACATACCCGATTCAAAGCATGTAAAAGCTCGTGAACTTTCTTGCGAAGAACACCGGCAAGATTAAGATATTCTATTTCCATCGTATTATCCCGTACTTCACATGACTTACTCCAGCCGATCCATCGTTGAAACTTTGTCCACATAAATGATACTATTTCATCATCTTTCTGCAGTAGGTTCTGTCGAGCACGACGAAAGCCATCATTAATGATTGCAATAAACATGCTCAAACAAACGAAAACGACAAAGAATATAAATAAACTAAAACACAATGGGCCAAGAACTACATGTACTTCCATTAATTCGCTCGTATCAAATTTCATCAATTTCATTTCAAATAACATCTGTGAAGTTTTCACAAGGGGGAAACAGCGGATTATTGATTAATGTCGATTATATTGATTATATGTGATTAGTATTGATTATGTGTGATTAGATGATTATTTAAACTCCTAATTCGCTGTTTCCCCCTTGCAATTGCTACAAATGCAGATGCTGATGATACAGCCATTGCGACATTCAAGATGAATTCATATGTGCCATACGGTTTGAAAGTTGTGTTTATCGACGGAGCTATTTGAATTTGAGAGGAACAATTTGTTTGAAAACAATTATTGATTGTCCATTTCATAATTGTCGCAAGTGAAATGTTACATATCAATTGAATGTACGAACTAATAAAGAAATCTTGACTTCGTTGAAATTGTATGGGAGATAATAATGCTGATGTTGCGGGAATCAAGGTGATTTTCGGTACAAAACAATCTAAATGGAATCCGATATTCAGATGAGATTCTCAGTTATGAATTTCTGTAAGAACAAGGGTCGGACGTAAGCAAGACTTGTCTCTACATTTGGTTAGATCACATCGAGTTGTCTGCCTGAGAAATTTAATTAGGAGAAATTAATGAGAAAGCTCACTTGTGCTGGAAGTCGAAGTCACATTTTCGCATTTACTAACATTGATGAATATTGTTTTATTATAAACGAATTGGTTTGACCTCGATGTGTTACCACTATCTGCACCGTATATTGGCACCAATCCTCCTATATCATCAAAAATAATAGCGTTATTTTCCATGATTTGAAAGTCCCAATTGTATGTTGCAGCGATGTTATAAGTTAAGAAGGTAAACTTATTAGAATCATTTTGAACATAAGGAGTAACGTCAACGAAGCCAGAATCTGTATAAGATTGAGAAACAATCAATTGTTGGTTGACATATCCGTAGGATGTATCGTCTATATTATAAAGACGGATTGAATATTTGTCGTTGTTGCCGGTACAACCTAACATTTAACAGAGACGAGCACTCTTTTAGTTTATTTACATTGCGAAGATTAATCGAAACGAAGATCTTGAGATTCCATCAATTTAATGATAGAGACACTTTGAAGGTTGGTCGCAAGCAACAAAATGAGTAAGCAAACTCATGAATACATGAAAGTAACGAGATGAGTGTTTAACTTCTAACGCTCGTAACATATTTTATATCTCTCGATGGTGTAAGGCTTCGAGTACTATGAAATGTCGTAAATCCTTCGTTCGATGTCGCTTTGAAAACTCAAACACTCATCACGATAACTCACTTGTAGTTGGCGTTGTACTCATAATCGAGCATTTAGCAGTATTTACGGAAATCATTCTGTTGTAGACAAACTGATTTGGCCTTGATCTGCGACTTGCGCTAACTGATCCAGCGATCCCTGCTGCATCGGCAAAAATAGTACTGTTGTTGTTCATGATTTGGAAACCCCAACTATACGGATTAGAAACATTGTATGTTGAGAAAGTAAAATTACTGATGCCATCATGAATGTAAGCAGTAACATCGATGAAACCAGAATCTGTACGAATGGATTGACGTGCAACATAGTGCTGATTGATGAATGCGTAAGAATAGTCGTCCACATTAAAAATTCGAATAAAATATCGATTATTGACACAACCTGTAATAAAACAAAAAGTAGTGTATTCAATTGATAATAATCATTTATGAACAGAATTCTTTATTTGTAAATATTAAACGATGGTTTTTTTTACCAGATATTTCTTCGATGGCCATAAAAATTATCCAGAAATGAAATTTCCAAAACGGCAACATCATCAAAACAAAAGTGAGATATTTTCGACCTTGAAAATGATAACATGAAATGTATATGATTGTGCGAGAGTTATTGTTAAAAACTCGATTTGATACGCTCGTTGAAAGAAAATAAAACACGATTGACAATCATTCGCTCTCTATATTACCATAAATTTCTCTCTTTGCTTGTTTGTTTGCTTTTGCACACACTATTTCTCTCTCAATTCAAGTCTTGATTTTATTGAGAGAATTCTCTGGAAGTAAAATAACATTAGACACATTGTCGAGAAATCGTGTATACGAAAGTTCGCCTTCAAAAAAAGTTAGTTTTTGTGAAATGATCATTCACCAATGTTTGGCACTTAGTTACAACTAATAATTGCAAGTTTGGCTCGAACAATACAAGATTTTCAACGATTTTTTTATCATTGTAAGTTTGAAAAAAGGATAGTATTAGAAAGTTAGGTATTGAATTTTAGTGTCAGCATAATGCGAAAAGACATCGCTTTTCAGAAGGATAAGACAGGAACATAAAGAATGTTACCGATCAAATGCTAACAAAACATACGTCAATATTTTACTCTTCAGCAAACAGTAATTTGCTAATTTCAAGAGGTAAAACCTGATTTGTTGATATCTGTGATTTGTCTTGATTTCAAGTGACTTCGAGGAAGGTTGATTTCTAAGTAGCAGCCATAGCGAAATCAGGAAAATCATCTGAAATCTTGGGGTATGATATGAACATATATCATGATTTTGGTGATTTCTGACTAAAAATTAGTTTTTTTTGAACTACTACACAAGAATATAATCATTTGAATCTTTCTAAAAACTAAGTGTTCAATTTTGATAATTGTTGACGTAGTTTATCTCCTTCCGCTACAAAAATATTTTCCAGAATATGATTGGCGAAATCATCAACACTTCTGTCATTCGTCATACTAATAATATATCCTGTTCGTATCCAAGCAGAAGATGTCGAATCGGTTGAGATCACTTTTTCCATACTAATATACTTTGTTACAAACGACGATTGTGAAGTACTTGTTGACGTACAGTATGTCAATTCATAGTTATCTCGATCATAAGATAATAGACTCCCATGAGATTTTGGTAATTGATCATTTAATACTCTGTTCTGAGTATCAATATGTTTCCATAATTCACTTGCATTGATATTGTATTCTTGTCGCCAGTATATCGACGGATTCGCTTGATCCTTCCTGGAAAATAGCTTCTCTTTGAAATTATTGCCTGTATACGATGAACACATCAATGGGGATGATAGTAACTCAACTAAGGCATCTAAACCAGTACGGTAAAAAGTAGTAACAATATCAGTTTGACTATCAAATGAAGCACTCCACGAAACAATAACCGAACGACCATTATCATCTTCCATCACACTAAGTTTTGATGCGTAATTTTGCACAGCTTTCCCCCACCTTCCGCCAATGTTTTTATACTGATATTCTCGTTTATAATTGTCTAAAACTTGTAATTGTTCGATTGTCTCAATGATTTGTCCAAAGAAAACAAGTCGTCTTTTCACGAATAGCTGCTGTGGATCATCCACTTTCTCGCAAGCTGAGATTTGTGGGTGCCATTTATGAATCGAAAAAAACCCGCCAATCAGCTTCCAGACAACCTCAGCCGTATTGCTAATCCGAACAGTTTGTATGATATTGAAATGTCGTACAGTTGGATAAGACGAAGCATTTGTAAACTGCTGATCCGATGAATAGTATGCTAATGGAATGTTAGCAGCAAACTGTATATGTACATCGGAAAAGTTCTCTCTTCTATATTTCGATACATAAAACGATGCTTTGTAATCGATATTAATACCATCATTGAACAGCCAAGTAAAATCACGCCACATGGCTACGCGTGGCGTACGGTAGTCATCGTTAGTAGTCGAAGAAAAGAGTTGAATAGGAACTTTTAGGGCGGTAGCAATCATTTCTATCTTACTTTGCCATTGTAATTGAAATTCGAGTTTCGAAGTAACGTTGGCTTGATCAGTAAAAATAACAATTTTGTAACCATCAGAATGCAAATGTTGAAGTCGTGATCTGACAAAACTATTGAACAAGTACCAATTCGAAACGTTGTTAGGATTTGTATGGATCAATGTCCCTTCTAAGTCGAACGCAGCTATTTTGGAACATGATACGATGCCATCGCTTTCAAATACCAGCATAGACTGGCGCGTTTTCCATGTACCCACTCGATGCTGTGACGTATATTGTCTTTTCAGCTTGTCAGATAGCATTTCAGCCATAGCATAGATTGTCGCAGACGGATTCGCGTCTATTTGAGAGCCAAAGCTGGATGCGTCACAGACTCGCAACGATGTCGTTCCTCGGACAAGTAATTCTTTGTCAGTGCAAAAACCCATTCGACATGAACATGTGGGATGAAGGGCACTTTCCATAAACTTGAAGTATTCGTCAAAAGTGAGAGGACCTGGTAGAATTTCACCAGCGATTAGTTGGCCGAATTCGGATGATTTGTTGAGTGTGTAGGATCGGAGGAGATGAACAGCCATTAAAAAAGTGTTTCTATCATTATCGCTAAGTTTTGTCCAGTTCAAATCGATTTCAGGTTTATCGAAGATTGAATTTGTCGGCGCTTTGACTGTTCCCGATGAAAAGTCAGTATTCTGAAGAGTAATGCGAAGGGTTGCAATCGTACCAGGCTTTGATACACCACATCGATCGGCTTTTATTTCGGAACAAAATCGACTTGCATGAGTAAATCTTCCATCACTGGCATCCAGCACATAGATTTGAATATCTCGAATGTTCTTACTTTGATTTGTTCGAACACCAGAATTGAATTGTACTAGCCATGAGAAAGGACCATTCATGTCGTTGAACGTTTCATCACAATCATGCAATTGAACAATATAAGGAAGACTGATGTGATCAGCCAGATATTTTCCTACATGAGTGTTATTGGCTACTAGAGACACATTGATAGTCTGCAAATGATCAGGATCACCTATACCACTAACTTGAAGTAGATGGGGAGTCGCAAAAGCACCAGCAGCGAGGATAACTTCGTATAACGCAGTAATTCGTTTTACTGTATGCGAACTTGTATCGTAGTATTCCACTCCAATTGCTCGAGCAGTATCATCGAATATGATACGTGTTACTGTTGAATCCACAACGATCGACAAATTCGGACGTTTCAAAACCTCTGTTGTTAAATATCCTGTTTTACTACTACCACGAAACCACGACGATGTACCAGAAGGACGATATTTAAATTGCTCAAACATAGAACAGCTATGCGGTCTGTTGATAAGGTCGCCGTTGTAATCGGTCGAATAGCCATTCCATGGTTGATTGGTATCATAACAAATTTCTCTAAAAGCTTGACTTACATTATGAAATAACAATGAATCGAGACTGTTGACTTGCATTGGGCCGGATTTGCCATGATACAATTCACAATCTTCTGTTGAAATATTTGTCAACATATGATGGCAGTAGTGATCTTCTAACTTTTTATAATAAGGTAGGAAGTGTTCATATTGCCAACCTTCAGGCCATTCTTTCAACATGTCAGGACTTGCTCTTGCGTTGATCATTCCGTATATTCGTGATGTTCCACCTAAACCCATGGAGCGCGGAATGTAAACTAATTTGTTTAAACTTTGTTGACGAGTAGTGATGATAACTGGATCATGAGGAGATATGAAGTTGAAATCGTTTGGAATCTTCATTGCACTCCATTCAGCTTCATTCGGGAGATCACGTGGTCCTTTTTCAATGCAAATGACGCGAAAATGCGGATTCTCGCTCAAGCGAGAAGCGAGTACAGCGCCACTCGTACCACAACCGACAACAATAAAATGATATGCCGTTCGATCTGTAATCGGGAGAACAAAAGTGGTGTTTTCTTGTTCTATCGTCGTCGGAGTGGTTGTCAATGGTTCCAATTGCAAAGTACTCTCTCGTTTGTCAATCTTGACGACGAAGATCAGTGTTGTGACAGTCAAACTGATTAGTACAAATGCAAGCATAATAGTCACTCCCAAAATCAATCGATTGCATTTCTTAACATCAGATGAGATCGAGGTATTACTTTGCTGTCTCATTTCGTTCCTACGGGTGAATTACAGTTTTTGAAAGCAATACTCATAAAACTTCATCGCTTATATTTCCACTTAAGATAGTCTTATCAGAGATACGAGAAGTTTATTTGAAATAAGCTCTTTTGCATGAAGTATGTGTACTCAGAATGCTTTTAGCTAGCATTGATTATAAATTCCATTGTCCATTTCATACCGTTCCCACAGTTTGTTCCCTGCAAACATCCTCGACTTCAACGTATCAGACATACCCTCAAGATTTGCTTGAATGACCAAAAACACTTTCGTCAACGACTAACTTCAGCTTTATTAATATGCTTGAATAACAAAAATTTTTAAAAAAATTACTGTTCTATAAATCTTTGACTTTACTCCAAAATTCTTCCCAGCCGATACCTTCGTGAACCCAATCCTTGTCCTTCTCTGGAAACAAGGCGTCCATGACTACTTGTGCAATTTTCAAATAAGATATTTGATCTTTTCCTTGTGCTTGATCGAACTTTTCAGCATAAACCAAAGCACGTATTGTTTTCGGTACATGTTCATCGTGATGTGTCAAACACTTATTAATCAAAGGCAACCACGGATTCGATACATCAGCATATTGATGTTCTTTGGAAATCTGATGTTCGTTAAGTAAATAGTTCACATTTAATTTCGGTCGTCCGCGTGCAACGAATTGAAGAAGATCAACTGCAAATTTTGCTTTTAAGAATTTCGTTTGATTTTCTGGATTTTGAAATGCGTGAACGAATATGTTTAAAAATAATGAACTTGTTGTTGCATGCATAAGAAAGAAATCCAAATGGACTTCTTTCTTTTCTCGTATAGCAGCAGCCGTGACTAAAATATCAGCGCGTCGAAGATCGTCCACATCACATTTCCACATCTGCGCATATTCAGCAACTAATGGGCCAGCATTACGTTCTAGAAGTTTCGAAAGTTTAACTCCTTTATCGTTATAGGAAAGCTTATCATCAAATCGTTGATCTTTAGTAATTAATTCAACAATTTCCAATGCTGTTTTGGGATTTGCTGGAGTGTGACCATAGTCCATGTGTTTTAAAACACCTTGAACACCGACACTATCAACAGCTGCCATAGCTAATCCTTCAATGGCCATTAACTTCGATTCAAACTCCAACGCATATCCAAGGTGAATGAGTGAATGATAGGCACCACCCAATGCTAAAGTTAAGTAATCGTCGTTAAAGAAATAATCTTCGATCAAAGCTTGGATGTTTCCTTGATATTTATCATTTTCCAATTTTTCGGTAAAAAATTTGACATAATCAGGATAGTAAGTTTCATCTCCTAAACATTTCTTCGCATCGAAATCTTTTCTATCGTGAAGCGGAGGGATCGGTTGTTGAATTTTCTTCTTTTGTTCGTAAATACGTTCGAGTGTTTCGCATGAAGCGCCAAGACCTAGCGCGGCTAGCAGATGATGCGTCGTATGATTATGAAAGCCATCCTCGTTGAAAAAAATATGATATTTTTCGTGATTGTCTTGCAGAAAACAAGAACAAGTTTCGATGGTTTTCGGAGTAACACCTGGAAGTAAATAAATTTGGGGATTTCTCAAGAACAGTTTGGATAACATGACAAGGAAAAACGATAAAAGTGAATTTTTCGTCTCTCTTGATATAGATACAGAAATTAACGAATCATTTATTAGATATCATTGTAGAGGCACACGAAATTATACAATGGATTGCACAGTTGAATCAAACAGTTATTTCGAAAGAATAAACGATCGAGGTGAATGTAAATCATTGTTTTGAATGTCCACGAAGGGTTTGGACATGTAGCATTCGCTCGTAAATCCTTGTGTACGAGTATATTTGATTTGACTCGTCTCTCCTTGTTTATTTGTCCATTCCATAATGCAAAGCAATTGTCGATGTGATGGAGGAAGATAATCGTTTGTAAGAAACCATGAACGTGAATGACGAAGATTTTTCGCTTGATTTATGTCGATAANGTGGAATGTAAACTAATTTGTTTAAACTTTGTTGACGAGTAGTGATGATAACTGGATCATGAGGAGATATGAAGTTGAAATCGTTTGGAATCTTCATTGCACTCCATTCAGCTTCATTCGGGAGATCACGTGGTCCTTTTTCAATGCAAATGACACGAAAATGTGGATTCTCGCTCAAGCGGGAAGCGAGTACAGCGCCGCTCGTACCACAACCGACAACAATAAAATGATATGTCGTTCGATCCGTAATCGGGAGAACAGAAGTGGTGTTTTCTTTTTCTATCGTCATCGGAGTGGTTGTCAATGGTTCCAATTGCAAAGTACTCTCTCGTTTGTCAATCTTGACGACGAAGATCAGTGTTGTGACAGCCAAACTGATTAGTACAAATGCAAGTATAATAGTCACTCCCAAAATCAATCGATTACATTTCTTAACATCAGAAGAGATCGAGGTATTACTTTGCTGTCTCATTTCGCTTCTACGGATGAATTACAGTTTTTGAAAGCAATACTCATAAAACTTCATCGCTTATAACGATCGTTAGGGGATCGTCGTCATTCCCACTTAAGATAATCTTATCAGAGATACGAAAAGTTTATTTGAAATAAGCCCTTTTTGCATGAAGTATGTGTACTCAGAATGCTTTTAGCTGGCATTGATTATAAATTGTATTGCCCATTTCATACCGTTTCTACAGTTTGTTTCTTGCAAACATCCTCCACTTCAATGTTTGAGACATATCCTCAAGATTTGATTTAATGACCAAAAACAGTTTCGTCAACGACTAACTTCAGCTTTATTAATATGCTTGAATAAAAAATTTTTAAAAAAAATCACTCTTCTATAAATCTTTGACTTTACTCCAAAATTCTTCCCAGCCGATACCTTCGTGAACCCAATCCTTGTCCTTCTCTGGAAACAAGGCGTCCATGACTACTTGTGCAATTTTCAAATACGATATTTGATCTTTTCCTTGTGCTTGATCGAACTTTTCAGCATAAACCAAAGCACGTATTGTTTTCGGTACATGTTCATCGTGATGTGTCAAACACTTATTAATCAAAGGCAACCACGGATTCGATACATCAGCATATTGATGTTCTTTGGAAATTTGATGTTCATTAAGTAAATAGTTCACATTTAGTTTCGGCCGTCCGCGTGCAACGAATTGAAGAAGATCAACTGCAAATTTTGCTTTTAAGAATTTCGTTTGATTTTCCGGATTTTGAAATGCGTGAACGAATATGTTTAAAAATAATGAACTTGTTGTTGCATGCATAAGAAAAAAATCCAAATGGACTTCTTTCTTTTCTCGTATAGCAGCAGCCATGACTAAAATATCAGCGCGTCGAAGATCGTCCACATCACATTTCCACATCTGTGCATATTCAGCAACTAATGGGCCAGCATTACGTTCTAGAAGTTTCGAAAGTTTAACTCCCTTATCGTTATAAGAAAGCTTATCATCAAATCGTTGATCTTTAGTAATTAATTCAACAATTTCCAATGCTGTTTTAGGATTTGCTGGAGTGTGACCATAGTCCATGTATTTTAAAACACCTTGAACACCGACACTATCAACGGCTGCCATAGCTAATCCTTCAATGGCCATTAACTTCGATTGAAACTCCAATGCATATCCAAGGTGAATGAGTGAATGATAGGCACCACCCAATGCTAAAGTTAAGTAATCGTCATTAAAGAAATAATCTTCGATCAAAGCTTGGATATTTCCTTGATATTTATCATTTTCCAATTTTTCGGTAAAAAATTTGACATAATCAGGATAATAAGTTTCATCTCCTAAACATTTCTTTGCATCGAAATCTTTTCGATCGTGAAGCGGAGGGATCGGCTGTAGAATTTTCTTCTTTTGTTCGTAAATACGTTCGAGTGTTTCGCATGAAGCACCAAGACCTAGAGCGGCTAAGAGATGATGCGTCGTATGATTATGAAAGCCATCCTCATTGAAAAAAATATGATGTTTTTCGTGATTGTCTTGCAGAAAACGAGAACAAGTTTCGATGGTTTTCGGAGTAACACCTGGTAATATATAAATTTGGGGATTTCTCAAGAACAGTTTGGATAACATGACTAGGAAAAAAAGATAAAAGCGAATTTTTCGTCTCTCTTGATACAGATACAGAAATCAACGAATCATTTATTAGATATCATTATAGAGGCACACGAAATTATACAATGGATTGCACAGTTGAATCGAATAGGATCAAACAGTTATTTCGAAAGAATAAACGATCGAGGTGAATGTAAATCATTGTTTTGAATGTCCACGAAAGGTTTGGACATGTAGCATTCGCTCGTAAATCCTTGTGTACGAGTATATTTGATTTGACTCGTCTCTCCTTGTTTATTTGTCCATTCCATAATGCAAAGCAATTGTCGATGTGATGGAGGAAGATAATCGTTTGTAAGAAACCACGAACGTGAATGACGAAGATTTTTCGCTTGATTTATATCGATAACCACATTTAGATTCTCATCCGTGGAGAGATTTTCTGCAACGATAAGGGTTGTATTGATCGACTGTGATGTCTCATAGAAAACCGCATTCCCTTTCTAGAAACAAACGAAGAAAATTGAAAAAGTACTGAGAGACAAATTGTACCTTTTCTGGTTGACCACAGAAATTCATTGTTGCACGAATTAAACAGTCCGCGAGGAATGTTGCCGGCTCCTTAACCAAATGTCCACTGATTTCAGTATTGGAATGAATGACTAAAGTGAAATTCCGATTTGGACGTTGATTATCACCTGATGAATGCCGCCAGAAGCTGATGGAAAATGGAATTAAAACATAGACAGATGGTTTTAATGTTCCCGACCAATGTAAAAATCCACCACGCTGCGATTCGAGAAGAATTTTATTTCGACCAAGCCGTTTTGATTCATATTCAACATCACACAAGACAAACGACTGTGTATGATCAGCTGATTGCTGACGATCTTCTCGGTGATAAATCAAACTGATATCGATCTTTGAAGTTCTACAGAGAAGATTCAGTTTGCAAAAAAAAAGTCCGTTTTTGTTTTAGTCTTACTGAGTGACTTGAAAGTAATAAGCAGAAACTGGTTCCGTGGATGAACGCGTGAATTTGGCTGGCTCACGAATGTCGAAATAATCAGGACGGTATGTTGAAATAGTGAGCGAATCAAAATAATGAAGAAATTTCTCGAATGAAATCCAGAAAATACCCAACGTGTGGTTTGTTTCATATATCGCTTGTAGTTGGGAGTTGACTATAGAGTTGTCTGAATATTTCGTATTTCCATGCGGATCACGAATAAGAACATAACGATAATTGGACACTTTGGTTGCTAACAGGAGAGAAAATGCGTGGTTTGGTTCGATTCCGATTCTTTGATATTCTTCAATTTTTAAGTCGTTTCGACATGTCGAAACACCAATTAACAATCTAAAGAAAAACAAAATAATCTTCTTTGAAATTTTCATGCAAATACTTTACTTTGATTGACAAGCGGAAAGAAGTTGATCCCAGACGAGACTTGGATCAGGTTTCTTCTTATATGGGTTCAAGTCAATCTGATGACATGGTGCACCGGTTAACAACTGAAGACCCTCAGCGGTCGATCCACGACGTAGACTTTCATATGAACCAAACACTTTCGCACAAGCTTTTTCAATCAATGGAACAAACAATTGACCCTTTCGTGCTCTGCTAAACGCCAAACGATTTCGATCTGTACATGGAAAATAATCGTCTACCAGAATGTTCTTCCACAGGCCATTATGGCAAATGCGAACCAGATAAGTTCCTTGTGGATTAATTGTTTGTGTGAGAAGAACGCGTCGAAGCATTCCGGGTCGTTCTGTTATTAAAGACAATGCAGCTAACAACCAACAATCACCTAATTGACCTTGTTCGATATCAACGGCTTGAGGATTAGAGGAACAAACTCGCCACGAATAATTTGTGTCAGTGCGTGACTGACTTATGTCATTTATTCGAAGCCATTTGGCGACACTTTGGGTCATCTCGAGGCCCAGTGATCGATTCGAAGGTGAAAATTCTTCGTCAGTGAAGCGAACATTGTTCTAAAAACAAAATGAAAGGAAACAGAATGGTCTTTCAGATCTGCATTTTGTTCTTATTTCACCTGCTGACAATAGGCAACGATTTTTTGAAAAGTTTTTGCTGCGTTTAATTCGTCTTGCTGTTGACGATAATGAATCGACACGGACAGTGGTCTCGTACTTGCTTTACCACAGTTCTTACATTGATGACGATCCATTCCATTCTTGTGCTTACAGAACTTGCACAACCAAGATGGTTTCAATCGAATTTTCGAAGAGAAGTCATTCGTTGTTTCACTTTGGTGACATACTTGGCACGTTGGATGATTTGCGATTGAATTTAGTGAAGAGCATTTCGAACAAAACCATTGGTTTTTAATTCGAGTGAACCCAGCTTCGTGAGGACGAGCATTGGAAACAGTAACACCCATGATATATGTATTTTTCTTTCGTTTTCTAAATGCAAAAATCAGTTAAAGTTTACTTTTATAAGCTGTGAACAGAATGTTGTCACATGTCTTCATCAAACAGAGAGAGAGAATGAAACAATGATCAAGCACTTTTTTTATTCTGAAAGTAGCACTCTGCTGGATGAAACTCCAAGTGCAAACTGTACAGGTCGCTACTCAGAAAAAAAGACGCAAAAACGAATACGCTGTCAATATTCTAATCAGCATCTTCTCTTATCCTTTTATATGGACATGTCATCAAAAGATTTCGTCGACGAAAAATCCTGTTGACATAACACTTTCGATGGTTTGATTCATGTGTCTTCTCTTAACGACTCTTTTCTATTTACATGCGCATGGTGAAGCCATTACATGAAAATTTTTCCATTCTTTATTTGATGTGAGCGGTTTCAGCGAAATAACCACCTATTAATAACTATTAATATCGTCTAGAAATCGCTTTCCGTGAAAGTGGAGAAGAGCAATTCAGTATTTATGATTTCTGCTCGAGTTATTTCGATGACAAATATGCGTAAGGGAAAAATCGAAATGATTGTTAAGAATACGCAAATGATAGCGCTGTATGTTTCCTGTGTGTTCAATAGTGAAGAGTAGAATCGATTAGTGATATCGATGGATATTGAGACGTTTTTCTCTAAATCTAAGCTGTCGAAGGATTCACTAGTGTGAATCGATTTCTAGTTCGAAAACGCTTACCCATACTCTCATACTTCTCAGTAGAGATTCTGTTCATTTGTCGACATACGACATCAGTGGGAAAGGCACAGATTGGTGTTATTTTACATCTAATTGCAGCTCAAGTCGTCGACATATGTATTTAGTTGTTTTCATTTTGTTTTCTATCGATGATCGAAGTCGCGTAAGAACAAAAACTAAAAACAAACATCAGTCACGATTCACTCTTGTGTCCAATTACTCTAGAATTATTCCGGGATATCGTTGTAGCCGAAGATGGCCACACCTATGAGAGAGAAACAATTGTAGAATGGATTAAAAAGAATGGGCGAAGTACACTCACTGATCAACCGTTACCATTAGAACGCTTCTATCCAAATTATGCGATGAAAACAGTGATCGATCAATTCGAAAATTCAATGAAAGCAAAACGTAACAGTATACTCTTAATGTTGACGTTAAACGAAGATCTGAGTCGACATCCACACATTGTTAGAACATACGGTCTTGTCTATGAAAACAATTCGATTATGCTCTTACAAGAACATGCACCGTTAGGAAGTCTGTTCGATTTTCTGCAGGATCAACTCGAATCACCGAAGGAAAAGATTCTCATCGAAATATTCTTACAAATAGTCGATGCGATGATTTTTCTTGCTTTTAACAATGTTGTTCATGCGGATTTAGCCTATCGGAATATCTTGGTTTTTTTGCTTTGATGAAAACAATCTAAAGAATATTGTAGTCAAGGTAACCGATTTCGAATTAAGTCGACATAGTTCAAAACGACTCTCAATATTATTCCTGTACGTTGTGTTGCACCAGAAATACTTTCAAAACATATGACATCTGATGATTACACAGAGAAATCGGATGTTTATTCAATGGGAATCTTGATGTGGGAAGCTTATAATCGAGGTATAATCCCCTGGTCGAAAATAAGTAATGATGATGAAGTTGTTCGACGTGTTCTAAATGGCGAACTATTACCAAAGCCATCTAACTGCAGTGATGATTGCTGGTCAGTTGTTTGTAAAATGTGGGCTAAAGCGCCAAAAGACCGACCAACATTTGCTGAATTAAAACATCTTCTAGCTGAACAGTCATTTTGTTCAAGCAGCTTGAGTGCGGTCACGATATTCTTTAAAGATCTTATTTTTTAATCGTTAAATATTTCATTTAAGATACTCTATTGACACAACTGCTGTCAAGAACAACTCTAGAATTTGGAACGGTAGAAAGAGAGGTTATAAACGGTTGGCCAAACGAGTATCGACAAAAAGTACGAGTATAAGAAATTTATAAAATCCACCATGCATCCTTAGAATCAAGATACCAACAATTCGTTCGGTCAAATCCGAAATATGCGACGCAAGAATGTATTGGATGGCATGGAACTTCATCCAATTGTCGAAATGGTCAATGCAAGTCTCTGTCAAATTATTTTGCACGGATTTCGAAAGGACTCGGTACGTAGGGATACCTATTCTTATCGATGTTGGGGAGAGGCAACTTATTTGGCCCCTCGAAGCTTTGCTTGCCACACTTATAATGGAAGTTCACAATCTCAAATGTACAATGGAACTACTGTAAGATGTACAATAATGGTCAGCTAAATCGTGGGATTGCCTTCAGCAAAGAAAAATACAAACGATTTCGGCTGGGTAGTAGTTCTATCGCATCTATTCCTACGTTGTTGACCATGTTTAAACATGACACTGCCAATTTTAGTCGCGATTATTATATCAGTCCGGTCGAATATATCTTATCTTACAACAATGTGGTTGCGCAACCGGTTTACATTGTAGTGTACTCTGTTAAATCAGAAGATATACAAATCCGATCAACAACGGGCAATTACTGCTCCTTTCACAAAGAATATCACATATGTAGTACCGGTTGCGACGGCCACTATGGTCCTGAGTGTTTAGGCTCAGATCAGGGTTTCGATACTACAAATTGCAATGGCATTTCTCGTGATCTATATGATTGTGGACTTATCGGTCTCAATCCAGAGTTTTTGCAGAAACTCGCTGCAGGCAACATTTGACTTTAGAGTGCTGTTTCAGAGCTCGTTTTGTGTTTTTATTTTATTCAAATAATAAAACCTCTCCAAACGATTCTTTTTCGGATCATGTAATGTTAAAGAATGAAAAAGAAATATTTTGAATATAAAAAAACCATTTCTGGCAGTTCATTAACGAAATCCTAGTCCATGATAGCAAATGAATACTTTCTAATCTATTCAAATTTGTTTTCAACTATCATAGGACGGTTATTTAGCAACAAAAATTGTTTAACAAAATTCATTTCCTACCTTATTTTACCACGAATTTCATGACAACACGTCAAGACAATTAGTAATTGTCTAACTACTGTTTATGAAGAAAGCTTGTCAATGACTTTTTGAGATTTTATCAAAATTGCAAGTTACAAACAATCATGATCAAGACTTTCGTTAAATTTTTGATGAAAAATGAATAGAATCGAGTCGAAAACAGAAATTTTGATGTCACAGAGTGTAAGATGACGTATTACTTTCCTCACTGGAACGCTGTATTAAAGTGATTCAATTCTTGCGAAATCATTGTTTTTCAAAATTTCCCTCTCCAACAGATGAGTGCAAATTGAAATAATAAGTTTTCTTAAATTAACGGTTAGACTTCTTCCTCTCTCCAACAGGCAAACAAATCTAGGAAACGAGATCTTATATACGTTTCATATCACATACTCACTATTTTCAAGGTTTGATTGTCATGAGTTTCACTTATAGAACTCGTCAAATGCACATTGTATAAGATGCTGACTACTCCCTGACTTTTTATTTGTCACTCAGCAGTTTCTTCCCTGCGTATATACGAAGAGGCAACGAAACGATTTAGACATTTTTGTTTGGATGCAAAGTCATTTTTATCATAACCATTTTGGGAAGAATTCGTGATCGCTACTACGATTTTCTACAAGTTTTTCGAAATGAATATCAAGAATTTATTCATTTGGTTACTTGAGCATATCTATGGTTACAATGTCTTCTTACCTGACGAAGATGATTATAATGATAATGATGACAGTGACGAACCAGTCGATCCTGCAGTTACTCTGAAACATCAACTATATTCTACTCGATTATATATCCCTCTTCTTATCAGTAACTTTAGCATTCATAAAATGATTTGTTTGTATATGAAAGTTTAGTCACCCTGTACATCCTAACGTTTGTTGCCGTCGTTAGTCCACAAAATCAATCGATCAGCGTTTCAGACATAACACCAGTACTTTTTAATGAGCTCTATCGCGATCATGCCGATACACTGTCATGCCCATGTTCAACTATTGCTGTGCCGTATGGAAAAATTGTATCACACATGATCTCCTTTCACCCGGTGTGTTCAAGTACTTATGTGAGCAAAGAGTGGATTCAAGCACTTTATTTGTCCTATGCCAGCTCATTGCTAGTGATGGATTTTCGAACAACTGCGAAATCTCAAGTAAGGCAATGCACTTGAGAATAAATGAGCGTAAATTTCTATTGTAGTTTGAACTTCTCGCTGCATTTTGTTCCATCTCTCAAGAAACAGTTTTTCAATCTCTCGTTGACGTGGAAAATGAACAATTTGTGACTTCTGAACTGTTTCCTGAAGACCAAGTTCAGTCTCAAATAGTGGCCACTATTGATCTAATTAAAAACAGTATTTTCCTTCAAAATGGTATTATCGTTAGTCTCTTACAAATAACAACACACTCAAACTTTCTCGTTTCTGCTCTTAATACAAATGCCTATATTGCAGTGAATAAAATTAATGGGCAAGTTTTTCGCATAATACCATCATCTACCCATGCATTCAACGAAAATAGCAGTCGCACAGCCAATAGTATCGGTCAAACGTGTGATCTAGTAAAATCAACAGTACCCGCCGGTATTTATTCACTACCACAGTATGAGAGTGCGATAGAACATTCGACATGGCCAATCAATCCACCCTCTTTCAGTCCAAGTACTAATGCAACAGTAGATGGATTCTTTGCTGGATGTACTCCACTTGATGGTTTACTTGTCAGTACACTTGACTGCTTATACAGTGTCAGCTGTCTGAAAAACTTTTCCAGTTATTTTCCAAATCTTAACCAGGTATGAATCTTTGAATAATTGTTTCAAAAATCAATTCTTGTCATGATTTAGACGAATATTTCTTGGTCTGATGGTCTGCCATCTTCAAATCGGAAACAGATACCTGTCGGAGATATTTTATCTGAATTATTCGTAGCAAATTGGTCGTCTGTGATCAACTATACTGTATACTTTACTTCATGCGCTCCAAAAACATGTACGTATACAATTATCAGCCACATGAATGTTTTATACGCTGGTGTTCTCTTACTTGCCCTCTATGGAGGTGTCACCATTCTGCTTCGCTCAATCACACCTTACTTAGTTTTTCTTTTGCTAAAGCTCAAGCGCAGTTCGACCAATCACAATCGCAATCTAAGTAATACTCGAAAACTATATAAAAAAAGAATATACTCTAAATTCAAACGAACTCTATTTCTAGAAAATCAATTGATGGCTATAAAGAAATGCATGGGCAAGTTAGGACGACTCAACTTGTTTAAATCAATCAATAGACGAACCGAAGAAGATGTCAAATTACAACGCGTGATCACGCGGATTTACTTGATTTTACTTGCGAGTATGATTATCTATATCTTGTTGGTTTTACTCATAGTTATATCACTTAAATCTCATTCAAGGTGCCGTGTGTGTGCTTCTAGTACACACATCTATCGATGTGCAGATGGTTGATATACCTGTACTGAAACCTTTGTTGAGAGAATACAGGCGACTACAACAATCACATTCCAATTCTCTAAAATGCTCTTGTTCAAACACTGCTGTACCATATCAAACATTCGTCGCTTGGGCGCCAAGACTTCATTCGTTGTGTACAAGCGATTTTGTTAGTGAGACGTGGATTTCATTACTTTCATAGGTGACTAATGTACTCTATTTTGGATACCGTTTCTTCGCTTGGAATGGTTTCACAAGTCAACATTTCCGTTTGCTGTCAATTTTATGCCAACTGGCAAACAAAACTATCACAGATGCCGTTCATCGATTTGGTATTCAAACCTTCGTCACACTGAATGTCACCAGTGAAGATATTTTCAATATTCAATTAGATATAACTGTGCACGAGTACACTCAGTCGTTCGGTGCTGATTTTTATCTTCTTCTCAAGACTATTCAACTGTTCACACAAGCTGATCAACCTTACACAATGGGTAACAATGCTAATCTAGTCGGTTTGGCAACGCACGATGAAAGCAATCACAGAGAAATTTCCAAGGTATAGTGGCATGATGAGAGTTATGGTTGAATTAAATATCTTTGATTTAGCTTGGATTCAACTTTACTGGTCCAATGAACACCGAAACGCAGCAAGTAGTATGTATCTGCGCTACAGATCCTCGCTGCCAAACTCCAGTTCGTGATCCTATAAATACAACTACTCTATACAAGGTTCCGGGCTTTTCTGAAGTTGTAGGAATGATCAATAGTTGCTTTACTTTGAATTCTGTATTGCTGTCAACGCTAGAATGTTACTATTCTGATTCGTGCGTGTCTATTCTGTACAAGTACATAAACGCCACAGTGGACGTCATTGATCTAGATCTTCGGTATATCGATGCTAGTCTTCTTGTATATAATTCAACATCCAGCCGATTTCCACCCAACACCTTACTTTCACTGATAATCAAAGAGTTAATGATCGAAGAGTGGAACCCAACATTTTCATTCGAAGATTATTATCAGGAATGTGCACCGAGCAGATGCATTTACTCTCAAGAAGTGCGTACGAGTAGCTTAATCGACATAATGATAAGAGTGATAGCAACAATCGGCGGTGTTATTGTTATTCTACGATTAGCTACACCGCTACTAATCAGGTTGATCATCAATTTGTGGAAGAACAAACAACCATCAAACACGTCACAAAGACAGCTAACATCTCGAGGTAATCAATGTTTGCATATCCATATTCGCCATAACAGATGAACCGTTGGCTTTTCCCTTCATATAGATTCACCGAAACTGTTCAGTCGGGTGAAAACGATCACAACTAGACTAGTTAGACTGATGGGATCTACGTTGATAAATCTAAATATTTTCCCAAGACGAATTTTTGGTGGACGTATCACTGACAGAAAAGCGAGGTATTTTGGGCAATTATCAACGAGACTTTACATCGTTCTGCTGATCGTCACTTCTGGTGTCTTGGCATTTTACTACGTTCTCCAATTACGAACAATAAAAGTAACAATTGATAGACCAGATATCGATGCCTACAAAAGTCTTCTACTCGAACACGGTGATACTTTGCAATGTCGTTGCTCGTCAGTCTCATCGAAATACAATAACTTCGTTCAAATTCAACCTATTTTTCATCCAGTAAGAGACTAGATGATTATCATTTTAGTTTATACCACGTAATGTATCTGTTTTAGATATGCTCAAGCCTCTTCGTTTCCGAGGAATGGTACATGAACATTACGTCAAGTTTGGCTCCAGATTTATTTATCTATGACACTCGCGATTATCGTCGTTTTCTATCCTCCCATTTGCAACTTCTATCAGGATTGTGTTCTGAGGCAATGCAATCCGTGAATAGCTATATCACTCAGTTTCTTGAATCATTTTTTCTAACCGATCAACTCGTACCAGCAAGTACACTTAACACATCCATCCATACGCTTGTCAATAGTAGTCAATTAAACGCTCCCAATTCTTTTGTAACTCGTCTATCCCTTCTTCGGGCTGTCAATTACGGCAATGCTATTATATCATCTTATGGAACAAATTTTGAGTATATTGATCCTTGGGTGAATGAATCTTATTCTGCAGCCATTACTCAATCAATAGTCTATGCTGATGAATGTTCCTGTGCATTGAGTATGAATTGTACTGTTCAAGCTGGATTCGTTGCACCAGACTCATTGAAAATCGTACCAATCAAAGGTTTGAAAATGGGCTGTACACCTAGTGAAGCGTTTCTGTCGTCAACACTGGAATGCTTCTATAATTCATCATGTCTGGATCTTATTCTGCAGTATACGAATAATAGCGATAACACGATTGAAATCTCAATCCTCTCCACAAACAATAGCCAATATTCAATGGATTCATCTATTCTAGATTTAATCACAAATGTCTTCATAGAGAAGTGGATAACATCCATAAACTACTCTATATATTTTCAACAATGTTCACCTAGTTCTTGTTCATATACATATCAACAGAGATTCGACTGGCTTTATACTGTCACTGTTTTAATCGGCTATATCGGTGGTTTAACACTGACTTTACAATGGTTATGTCCAAAAATGATCATTCTCTCCAATCAACTCTATAGATATTCTCGAAAACAGAAAAACACTGTCCATGTGATCCCTCAATTGACATTGGGAGAAAACCATATACACAATCTCGATCTAAGCGGAGTTTCTTCAACTTCAACATCACCGTACAGTCTATTTATATTTCTCATATATTTCAATGATGTTTGCTTGTAGGCGACAATTCACATCGACCATGTGTCGTTATATCATTCTTGGATTAATTCTGTTCATGGGTTCAATAGCAGCACTGGTAATTGTTTCTATCTATTTGAATGAACGTATAAATACGCTTCACACAACACCGTCAGGTATTCAATCATGTCCTCTCGAATTCATTTACAATATTCTGAATATTTGTATTTGTACTTAAGTTTTACTGACAACTATTGAGACAACGACCAGTACGACAGTATTGATGACGACAATATCTTCAACAGGTTAGTGTGATACGGCATCAGCATTCTCATGACCTCACTCTACATTCTTGTTAGAATCATCCTGCAAATTAACATTTCAACAATCAACTCTGTACACATCCAACTCGAATTCAACGCACAATGCTATTACTACGGGAGATTTTAATGGTGATAGTTATCTAGATATTGCTCTTGTTGATGCTTATTCGGGTAATCTCAGCGTATTTCTGAATAACAATGATGAAACATTTTCAATATCATCGATACATATTATCAACACAAGTGATTACATTGTTTCTATTGCTTCTGGAGATTTTAACAGCGATTACCGAATAGATCTCGCTGTTGCCGTTCGTTCTTTTAGTACAATCATCATTTTGATTGGCAATGGTGAGGGAATATTTCAGATACAACAGACAATTTCAGTTGCATCCATCTCTGAACCAACCTCAATTGTAGTTGCTGACTTCAATGGCGATACTTATTTAGACATTGTTGTCAATGGGGACTTTCTGGGTATATTGTCTGGTTTTGGTAATGGATTTTTCAGCGATGTATCATTCCTCTATTCTAACGATGTATCGTATGAAGACTCATTTGTAGTCGCTGATTTGAATAACGATAATTATCTTGATCTCGTCATCGTTGGCGAGTTCGACAATCGTCTGCACATCTTGATTAACAATGGCTACGGATATTTTCGACTACAGACAATTACAATGGCAAACGCCTATAGTAGCGACAAGTCACTCGCTGTAGCTGATTTTAACAGTGATAATCAACCGGATTTAGCCATTGCAATAAAGGATTCTAATATCGTGAATCTTTTTATTCAGAAGAATGGCACTTTTGCGCAACACACCGCATATTCAACCGGAGCGTATAGTGCGCCCAATTCATTAGTTGCTGTGGATTTTAACAATGATGGCTATGCAGATCTTGCAGTGGTTCTTAATTATAAAAATCAATTGGATCTTCGGTTTGGTATTGGTGAAAGCGTGTTCTCATCGCCATTGATATTTTCNACGAAATTATACAATGGATTGCACAGTTGAATCAAACAGTTATTTCGAAAGAATAAACGATCGAGGTGAATGTAAATCATTGTTTTGAATGTCCACGAAGGGTTTGGACATGTAGCATTCGCTCGTAAATCCTTGTGTACGAGTATATTTGATTTGACTCGTCTCTCCTTGTTTATTTGTCCATTCCATAATGCAAAGCAATTGTCGATGTGATGGAGGAAGATAATCGTTTGTAAGAAACCATGAACGTGAATGACGAAGATTTTTCGCTTGATTTATGTCGATAACCACGTTTAGATTCTCATCCGTGGAGAGATTTTCTGCAACGATAAGGGTTGTATTGATCGACTGCGATGTCTCATAGAAAACCGCATTTCCTTTCTAGAAACAAACGAAGAAAATTGAAAAAGTAGTCAGAGACAAATGGTACCTTTTCTGGTTGACCACAGTATTTCATTGTTGCGCGAATTAAACAGTCTGCGAGGAATGTTGCCGGTTCCTTAACCAAATGTCCACTGAGTTCAGTATTGGAATGAATGACTAAAGTGAAATTCCGATTTGGACGTTGATTATCATCTGATGCATGCCGCCAGAAGCTGATGGAAAATGGAATTAAAACATAGACAGATGGTTTTAATGTTCCCGACCAATGTAAAAATCCACCACGCTGCGATTCGAGGAGAATTTTATTTCGGCCAAGCCGTTTTGATTCATATTCAACATCACACAAGACAAACGACTGTGTATGATCAGCTGATTGCTGACGATCTTCTCGGTGATGAATCAAACTGATATCGATCTTTGAAGTTCTACAGAGAATATTTAGTTTGCAAGAAAAAGTCCGTTTTTGTTTTAGTCTTACTGAGTGACTTGAAAGTAATAAGCAGAAACTGGTTCCGTGGATGAACGTGTGAATTTAGCTGGCTCACGAATGTCGAAATAGTCAGGACGGTATGTTGAAATAGTGAGGGAATCAAAATAATGAAGAAATTTCTCGAATGAAATCCAGAAAATACCCAACGTATGGTTTGTTTCATATATCGCTTGTAGTTGGGAGTTGACTATAGAGTTGTCTGAATATTTCGTATTTCCATGTGGATCACGAATAAGAACATAACGATAATTGGACACTTTGGTTGCTAATAGGAGAGAAAATGCGTGGTTTGGTTCGATCCCGATTCTTTGATATTCTTCGATGTTTAAGTCGTTTCGACATGTCGAAACACCAATTAACAATCTAAAGAAAAGCAAAATAGTCTTCTTTGAAATTTCCCTACAAGTACTTTACTTTGATTGACAAGCGGAAAGAAGTTGATCCCAGACGAGACTTGGATCAAGTTTCTTCTTATATGGGTTCAAGTCAACCTGATGACATGGTGCACCGGTTAACAACTGAAGACCCTCAGCGGTCGATCCACGACGTAGACTTTCATATGAGCCAAACACTTTTGCACAAGCTTTTTCAATCAATGGAACAAACAATTGGCCTTTTCGTGCTCTACTAAACGCCAAACGATTTCGAGCTGTACATGGAAAATAATCGTCTACCAGAACGTTCTTCCATAGGCCATTATGGCAAATGCGAACAAGATAAGTTCCTTGTGAATTAATTGTTTGTGTCAGAAGAACGCGTCGGAGCATTTCGGGTCGTTCTGTTATTAGAGACAATGCAGCTAACAACCAACAATCACCTAATTGACCTTGTTCTATATCGACGGATTGAGGATTAGAGGAACAAACTCGCCACGAGTAATTTGTGTCAGTGCGTGACTGACTTATGTCACTTATTCGAAGCCATTTGGCGACACTTTGGACCATCTCGGGGCCCAGTGATCGATTCGAAGGTGAAAATTCTTCGTCTGTGAAACGAACATTGTTCTAAAAACAAAATGAAAGGAAACAGAATGGTCTTTCAGATCTGTATTTTGTTTTCATTTCACCTGCTGACAATAAGCAACGATTTTTTGAAAAGTTTTCGCTGCATTTGATTCGTCTTGCTGTTGACGATAATGAATCGACACGGACATTGGTCTCATGCTTGCCTTACCGCAGTTTTTACATAGATGACGATCCATTCCATTCTTATGCTTACAGAACTTGCACAACCAAGATGGTTTCAATCGAATTTTCGAAGAGAAGTCATTCGTTGTTTCACTTTGGTGACATACTTGGCACGTTGGATAGTTTGCGATAGAATTCAGTGAAGAGCATTTCGAACAAAACCATTGATTTTTAATTCGAGTGAACCCAACTTCGTGAGGACGAGCATTCGAAACAGTAACACCCATGATATATGTATTTGTCTTTCGTTTTCTAAATGCAAAAATCAGTTAAAGTTTACTTTTATAAGCTGTGAACAGAATGTTGTCACATGTCTTCATCAAACAGAAAGAGAATGAAACAACAATGATCAAGCACTATTTTTTGTTCTGAAAAGAGCAATCTGCTGGATGAGACTCCAGGTGCAAAGTGTACAGGTCGCTACTCAGAAAAAAGGCGTAAAAAAAGAATACGCTGTCAATATTCTGATCAGCGTCTTCTCTTATCCTTTTATATGGATATGTCATCAAAGGATTTCGTCGACGAAAAGTCCTGTTGACATAACACTTTCGATGGTTTGATTCACACATCTTTTAACGACTCTTTTCTATTTACACGCACATAGTGAAGCCGTTAAATGAAACATTTTTCATTCTTTATATGATGCGACCGATTTCAGCGAAATGGACACCCGTTAGTAACTGTTAATATCGTCTAGAAGCCGTTTTCCGTGAAAGCCGAGAAGAATAATTCAGTATGTATGATTTCTGCTCGAGTTGTTTCGATAACAAATAACACATAAGGGAAAAATCGAAATGACTGTTAAAAATACGCAAATGGTAGCGCTGTATGTTTCCTGTGTGTTCAATAGTGAAGAGTAGAATCGATTAGGCATATCGATGGATATTGAGACGTTTTGTCTAAATCTAACCTGTAGAAGGATTCACTAGTGTTAATCGATTTCTAGTTCGAGAACGTTCGCCCATACTCTCGCACTTCACAGTACAAATTCTGTTTATTCGTCGGCATACGACATCAGTGAGAAAGGTACAGATTGGTGTTATTTTACAGCTAATTGCCACTCAAGTCGTCGAAATATGTCTTAAGTTTTTTTCATTTTGTTTCCCATCGACGATCGAAGTCGCGTAAGAACAAAAACTAAAAACAAACATGAGTCACGATTCACTGTAGTGTCCAATTATTCTCGAATTATTCCGGGACCCCGTTGTGGCCGAAGATGGCCACACCTATGAGAGAGAAGCAATTGTAGAATGGGCGAAATCCACTCACTGATCAACCGTTATCATTAGAACGCTTATATCCAAATCATGCGATGAAAAAAGTGATCGATCAATTCGAAAATTCAGTGAAAAACAAAACGTACCAGTATACTCTTAATGTTTGACGTTAAACGAAGAGCAGGTCGACCAGATGTCATTCTTTTGAAAATTGATGGTGCACGAAAACAAGCTTCTTTTTGGGTTGATCTGAGTCGACATGCACACATTGCTAGAACATATGGTCTTGTCTATGAAAACAATTCGATTATGCTCTTAGCTAGTTCACTGTATGCATTAGCACTCGGTGCGGCAAAAACAACTCTCAATGTTTTCTGTACGTTTTGTTGCACCAGAAATACTTTCAAAAAATGTAACATCTGATGATTACACAGAGAAATCGGATGTTTATTCAATGGGAATCTTGATGTAGGAGGCTTATAATCGAGGTATAATCCCCTGGCCGAAAATAAGTAATGATGGTGAAGTTGTTCGACGTGTTCTAAATGGTGAAATATCGCCAAAGCCATCTAACTGTAGTGATGATTGCTGGTCAGTTATTTGTAAAATGTGGGCTAAATCGCCAAAAGATCGACCAACATTTGCTGAATTAAAACATCTTCTAGCTGAACAGTCATTTTGTTCAAGCAGTTTGAGTGTGTTCACGATAATCTTTAAAGATCTTATTTTTTATCGTTAAATATCTCATTTAAGATACTCTATTGACACAACTGCTGTCAAGAACAAGTGCAGAATTTGGAACGGTAGAAAGAGAGTTTATAAACGGTTGGCTAAACGAGTATCGACAAAAAATACGAGTAGAAGAAATTTATAAAATCCACCATGCATCCTTAGAATCAAGATACCAACAATTCGTTCGGTCAAATCCGAAATATGCGACGCAAGAATGTATCGGATGGCATGGAACTTCATCCAATTGTCGAAATGGTCAATGCAAGTCTCTGTCAAATTATTTTGCACGGATTTTGAAAGGACTCTGTACGTGGGGAGAGGCAACTTATTATGCCACTCAAAGCTTTGCTTGCCACACTTATAATGGAGATTCACAATCTCAAATGCACAATGGAACTGCTGTAAGGTGTACAATAATAGTAAAGCTAAATCGTGGGATTGCCTTCAGCAAAGAAAAGTACACACGATTTCGGCTGGGCACTAGTTCTGACGCATCTATTCCTGCGTTGATAACCATGTTTAAACATGAAACTGCTAATTTTAGTCGCGATTATTATATCTGTCCGGTCGAATATATCTTATCTTACAATGGTCCTGAATGTTTAGGCTCGTATCGGTATCCCGATACTACAAATTACAATGGCATTTCTCGTGATCTAAATGATTGTGGACTTGTCGATCTCACTCCAGAGTTTTTGCAGGAACTCGCTTCGGGCAACATTTGACTTTAGAGTGCTGTTTCAGAGCTCATTTTGTGTTTTATTTTATTCAAATAATAAAACTTCTCCAAACGATTATTTTTCGGATCATGTAATGTTAAAGAAAGAAAAAGAAATATTTTGAATAAAGAAAACACTTCTCGCAGTTCATTTACGAAATTCTAGTCCATGGTAGCAAATGAATACTTTCTAATCTATTCAGATTTCTTTTCAACTATTATAGGACGGATGTTTAGCAACAAAAATTGTCTAACAAAATTCCTTTCCTACTTTATTTTACCACGAATTTATGACAGCACGTCAAGACAGTTAGTAATTGTCTAACTACTGTTTATGAAGAAAGCTTGTCAATGACTTTTTGAGATTTTATCAAAATTACAAGTTATAAACGATCATGATCAAGACTTTCGTTAACTTTTTGATGAAAAATGAATAGAAATGGAGTCGAAAACAGAAAAGTTGAGGTCACAGAGTATAAGATGACGTATTACTTTCCTCACTGGAACGCTGTATTAAAGTGATTCAATTCTTGCGAAATCATTGTTTTTCAAAATTTTCCTCTCCAACAGATGAGTGCAAATTGAAATAATAAGTTTTCTTAAATTAACGGTTAGACTTCTTCCTCTCTCCAACAGGCAAACAAATCAAGGAAACGAGATCTTATATACGTTTCATATCACATACTCACTATTTTCAAGGTTTGATTGTCATGAATTTCTCTTATAGAACTCGCAAAATGCACATTGTATAAGATGCTGACTACTCACTGACTTTTTATTTGTCACTCCTCAGTTTCTTTTCGGCGTATATACGAAGAGACAACGAAACGATTTAGACGTGTTCCTTTGGATGCAAAGTCATCTTTATCATAACCATTTTGGGAAGAATTCGTGATTGCTACTACGATTTTCTACAAGTTTTTCGAAATGAATATCAAGAATTTATTCATTTGGTTACTTGAGCATGTCTATGATTACAATATCTTCTTACCTGACGAAGATGATTATAACGATAATGATGACAGTGACGAACCAGTCGATCCCGCAGTTACTCTGAAACATCAACTATATTCTACTCGATTATATATTCCTCTTCTTATCAGTAAGTTTAGCATTCATAAAATGATTCATTTGTATATGAAAGTTTAGTTACCCTGTACATCCTAACGTTTGTTGCCGTCGTTAGTCCACAAAATCAATCGATCAGCGTTTCAGACATAACACCAGTGTTTTTCAATGAGCTCTATCGCGATCATGCCGATACACTGTCATGCCCATGTTCAACTATTGCTATGCCGTATGGAAAATTTGTATCACACATGATCTCCTTTCACCCGGTGTGTTCGAGTACTTATGTGAGCAAAGAGTGGATTCAAGCGCTTTATCTGTCCTATGCCAGCTCATTGCTAGTGATGGATTTTCGAACAACTGCGAAATCTCAAGTAAGACAATGCGCTTGAGAATAAATGAGCGTAAATTTCTATTGTAGTTTGAACTTCTCGCTGCATTTTGTTCCATCTCTCAAGAAACAGTTTTTCAATCTCTCGTTGACGTGGAAAATGAACAATTTGTGACTTCTGAACTGTTTCCAGAAGACCAAGTTCAGTTTCAAATAGTGGCCACTATTGATCTAATTAAAAACAGTATTTTCCTTCAAAAAGGTATTATCGTTAGTCTCTTACAAATAACAACACAATCAAACTTTGTCGTTTCTGCTCTTAATACAAATGCCTATATTTCAGTGAGTAAAATCAATGGGCAAGTTTCTCGCATAGTACCATCATCTACCCGTGCATTCAACGAAAATAGCAGTCGCACAGCCAACAATATCGGTCAAACGTGCGATCTAGTAAGATCAACAGTACCGGCCGGTTTTTATTCATTACCACAATATGAGAGTGCAATAAAACATTCTACATGGCCAATCAATCCACCCTCTTTCAGTCCAAGTACTAATGCAACAGTAGATGGATTCTTTGCTGGATGTACTCCACTTGATGGTTTACTTGTCAGTACACTTGAATGCCTATATAGCGTCAGCTGTCTGAAAAACTTTCCCAGTTATTTTCCAAATCTTAATCAGGTATGAGTATTTGAATAATTGTTTAAAAAATCAATTCTCGTCATGATTTAGACAAATATTTCTTGGTCTGATGGTCTGCCATCTTCAACACGGAAACAGATACCTGTCGGAGATATTTTATCTGAATTATTCGTAGCAAATTGGTCATCTGTGATCAACTATACTGTATACTTTACTTCATGCGCTCCAAAAACATGTACGTATTCGATTATCAGCCACATGAATGTTTTATACACTGGTACTCTCTTACTTGCCCTCTATGGAGGTGTCACCATTTTGCTTCGCTCAATCACACCTTACTTAGTTTTCCTTTTGCTAAAGCTCAAGCTCAGTTCGACCAATCACAATCGCAATCTAAGTAATCCTCGAAAACTATATAAGAAAAGAATATACTCTAAATTCAAACGAACTCTATTTCTAGAAAATCAATTGATGGCTATAAAGAAATGCATGGACAAGTTAGGACGACTCAACTTGTTTAAATCAATCAGTAGACGAACCGAAGGAGATGTCAAACTACAGCGCATGATCACGCGGATTTACTTGATTTTACTTGCGAGTATGATTATCTATATCTTGTTGGTTTTACTCATAGTTATATCACTGTATCTCATTCAAGGTGCCGTGTGTGTGCTTCTGGTACACACATCTATCGATGTACAGATAGTAGATATACCTGTATTGAAACCTTTGTTAAGAGAATACAGAAGACTACAACAATCACATTCCAATTCCCTGAAATGCTCTTGTTCAAACACTGTTGTACCATATCAAACATTCGTCGCTTGGGCGCCAAGACTTCATTCGTTGTGTACAAGCGATTTTGTTAGTGAGACGTGGATTCCATTATTGTCATATACTACTAATGTACTCTATTTTGGATACCGTCTCTTCGCTTGGAATGGTTTCACAGGTCAACATTTCCGTTTGCTGTCAACTTTATGCCAACTGGCAAATAAAACTGTCACAGATGCTGTTCATCGATTTGGTATTCAAACCTTCGTCACACTGAATGTCACCAGTGAAGATATTTTTAATACTCAATTAGATATAATTGTGCACGAATACACTCAGTCGTTCGGTGATGACTTTTATCTTCTTCTCAGGATTATTCAGCTGTTCACACAAGCTGATCAACCTTACACAATGGGTAACAATGCTGATCTAGTCGATTTGGCAACGCACGATGAAAGCAATCACAGAGAAATTTCCAAGGTATAGTGGCATGATGAGAGTTACGGTTGAATTAAATATCTTTGATTTAGCTTGGATTCAACTTTACTGGTCCAAGGAACATCGAAACGCAGCAAGTAGTGTGTATCTGCGCTACAGATCCTCGCTGCCAAACTCCAGTTCGTGATCCTATAAATACAACTACTCTATACAATGTTCCGGGCTTTTCTGAAGCTGTAGGAATGATCACTAGTTGCTTTACTTTGAATTCTGTACTGCTGTCAACGCTAGAATGTTACTATTCTCATTCGTGCGTGTCTATTCTGTACAAGTACATAAACGCCACAGTGGACGTCATTAACGTAGGTCTTCGGTATATCGATGCTAGTCTTCTTATATATAATTCAACATCCAGTCGATTTCCTCCCAATACCTCACTTTCACTGATAATCAAAGAATTAATGATCGAAGAGTGGAACCCAACATTTTCATTCGAAGATTATTATAAGGAATGTGCACCAAGCAGATGCATTTACTCTCAAGAAGTGCGTAGGAGTAGCTTAATCGACATAATGATAAGAATGCTAGCAACAATCGGCGGTATTATTGTTATTCTACGATTAGTTACGCCATCACTAATCAGGTTGATCATCAATTTGTTGAAGAGCAAACAACCATCAAACACGTCACAAAGACAGCTAACATCTCGAGGTAATCAATGTTTGCATATCCATATTCGCCATAACAGATGAACCGTTGAGTATTCCCTATCATATAGATTCACCGAAACTGTTCAGTCAAGTGAAAACGATCACAGCTAGACTAATTAGACTGATAGGATCTACGTTGATAAATCTAAATTTTTTCCCAAGACGAATTTTTGGTGGACGTATCACTGACAGAAAAGCGAGGTATTTTGGGCAATTATCAACGAGACTTTACATCGTTCTGCTGATCGTCACTTCTGGCGTCTTGGCATTTTACTATGTTCTGCAATTACGAACAATAAAAATAACAATTGATAGACCAGATATCGATGTCTACAAAAGTCTTCTACTCGAACACGGTGATACTCTGCAATGCCGTTGCTCGTCAGTCGCATCGAAATACAATAACTTCGTTCAAATTCAACCTATTTTTCATCCAGTAAGAGACTAGATTATTATCATTTTGGTTTATACCACGCAATGTATCTGTTTTAGATATGCTCGAGTCTCTTCGTTTCCGAGGGATGGTACATGAACATTACGTCAAGTTTGGCTCCAGATTTATTCGTCTATGACACTCGAGATTATCGTCGTTTTCTATCCTCGCATTTGCAACTTCTATCAGGATTGTGTTCTGAGGCAATGCAATCCGTGAATAGCTATATCACTCAGTTTCTTGAATCATTTTTTCTAACCGATCAACTCATACCAGCAAGTATACTTGACACATCCATCCATACGCTTGTCAACAGTAGTCAATTAAACGCTCCCAATTCCTTTGTAACTCGTCTGTCCCTTCTTCGGGCAGTCAATTACGGCAATGCTATTATATCATCTTATGGAACAAATTTTGAGTATATTGATCCTTGGGTGAATGAATCTTATTCTCCAGCCATTACTCAATCAATAGTCTATGCTGATGAATGTTCCTGTGCATTGCACATGAACTGTACTGTTCAAGCTGGATTCGTTGCACCGGATTCATTGAAAATCGTACCAATCAAAGGTTTGAAAATAGGCTGTACGCCTAGTGAAGCGTTTCTGTCGTCAACCCTGGAATGCTTCTATAATTCATCATGTCTGGATCTTATTCTGCAGTATACAAATAATAGCGATAGCACGGTTAAAATCTCAATCCTCTCCACAAACAATAGCCAATATTCAATGGATTCAACTGTTCTAGATTTAGTCACAAATGTCTTCATAGAGAAGTGGATAACATCCATAAACTATTCTGTATATTTTCAACAATGTTCACCTAGTTCTTGTTCATATACATATCGACAGAGATTCGACTGGCTTTATACTGTCACTGTTTTAATCGGCTATATCGGTGGTTTAACACTGGCTTTACAATGGTTATGTCCAAAAATAATCATTCTCTCCCATCAACTCTATAGATATTCTCGAAAACAGAAAAACGCTGTCGATGTGATCCCTCAATCGACACTGGGAGAGAATCATGTACACAATCTCGATCCAAACGGAGTTTCTTCAACTTCAACATCACCGTACAGTCTATTTATATTTCTCATATCTTTCAATGATGTTTGCTTGTAGGAGACAATTCACATCGGTAATGTGTCGTTATATCATTCTTGGATTAATTCTGTTCATGGGTTCAATAGCAGCATTGGTAATTGTTTCTATCTATTTGAATAAACGTATAAATGCAGCTCACACAATACCGTCAGGTATTCAATCGTTTCTTCTCGAATTCATTTTAAATATTCTGAATATTTGTATTTGTACTAAAGTTTTACTGACAACTATTGCGGAGACAACGACCAGTACAACAGTATTGATGACGACAACATCTTCAACAGGTTAGTGTTATACGGCATCAGCATTGTGATAACCTCGCTCTACATTCTTGTTAGAATCATCCTGCAAATTAACATTTCAACAATCAACTCTGTACACATCCAACTCGAATTCAACGCACAATGCTATTACTACGGGAGATTTTAATGGTGATAGTTATTTAGATATTGCTCTTGTTGATGCTTATTCGGGCAATCTCAGCGTATTTCTGAATAACAATGATGAAACATTTTCAATCTCATCGATACATATTATCGACACAAGTTATTACATTGTTTCTATTGCCTGTGGCGATTTTAACAGCGATTACCAAATAGATCTCGCTGTTGCCGCTTATTCTTCTAGTACAATCATCATTTTGATTGGCAATGGTGAGGGAATATTTCAGATACAACAGACAATTTCAGTTGCATCCATATATCAACCAACCTTAATTGCAGTTGCTGACTTCAATGGCGATACTTATTTAGACATTGTTGTTAATGGGGCCTTTCTGGGTATATTGTCTAATTTTGGTAATGGATTTTTCAGCGGTATATCATTCCTCTATTCTAACGATGTATCGTATGAAGACTCATTTGTAGTCGCTGATTTGAATAACGATAATTATCTCGATCTCGCCACCGTTAGCACGTTCGACAATCGTCTGCACATCTTAATTAACAATGGTTACGGATATTTTCGACTACAGACAATTACAATGGCAAACGCCTATAATAGCGAAAAGTCACTCGCTGTAGCTGATTTTAACAGTGATAATCAACCGGATTTAGCCATTGCATTAGGGGATTCTGATATCGTAAATCTTTTTATTCAGAAAAATGGTACTTTTGCGCAACACACCGCATATTCAACCGGAGCATATAGTGCACCCAATTCATTAGTTCCTGTGGATTTTAACAATGATGGCTATGCAGATCTTGCAGTGGTTCTTAATTATAAAAATCAATTGGATCTTCGGTTTGGTATTGGTGAAAGCGTGTTCTCATCGCCATTGATATTTTCAATCGGAAGTCCTGGCTCACCCTTTGGATTAATCACGGGCGATTTCAATGGTGACAATANGCTGGAAGACACAGGCGAATGTTCAAACTTTTCAAGTAGTCTGCTGTATACCGTCCGTCTATGAGTGACTTAGTAAAGCATTTATGAAAATTTCCATGCGCATAATATGAAAATAGAAAAATAGATGATACAGGTCAATGGTTGGCCGTCTGACTAACCGTTGAGCGATGCATTTTTCAGTGAACATAGTTAGTGCTGGAGAATTATTCACTGACAAATGGCTAATTGGTCTGATTCCTAAAAAGACGTTTGCATCCTATTGATTCTAGTGTGCATTGGCGGCGCGCCATAGAGGCGAGAGGAGGCAATTACCTCCCCTATGGAAAATCTGGGGAGGCAATAAAAAGTTATTGCCTCTCCTAATATTCGCATCTTTTGATAGTTTTTTAAAGAGTATATCACACTTGTTACCCAATTTATTTCGAAAAAAGAGGATAGGAAAAGAAGTATTCTGAAAATGAATGAACTATTTATGAATTTCGAAAATAAATCTATTGTGTGCATTTTTGAAAATCGAAAACCTATACTCACTATTGGTAAAAAATTTTATTGCCTTCCCTAAAAGATTAAGCATGCGCCGCCCATGCTAGTGTGTGACATAGTGCCATGATTCAGTTGAACACTAGTAGCAATCGCAGTGCGTTTTTTCTCTTTCGAGATCTCTGAATGTGTTCAGCACTCGGAAAAGTCTTTCAGAAAAGGGTCAGAGAATCGAAAGGATGAGCGTTACTTGTTGAATAGTTAACATGTTCTATTGTTTTGATAACAATTAAATGACACAATCGTTTGATTTGAATTTATCATTAAACATAAACATTGATCAAATGAACCATAAATAAGAGTAGATGAAAAAATTGGTACATTTAAATAAACATTTTGTATCAAACCGACTTGAATAGTTTGAATACAATTGAAAAGTAATAGAAGAATCAATAGGACGATTATTATGATGAAGGGTGAGGGTCGATTTCATACACATTTATTCTTTCTAACTTCTTTTTATTCGACAGATTTAATATTTAATAGAAGACAAAGAATCATCGAGAAAGTAATTAAAGTATACGTTTACGTAATGTGTATAAAGAATAAAAACAAATAAAATGTTCATGGACGCCAAAAGAGACCTATCTATTTGATCGGGAAACTCAGGTTTCATTAAATAAACGAAGAACGAGTTTTATTTTTCAATGAAAAGGATGCCGTTTGCTTCATCAAAGAAAATGTTCTTCTGTTCAGAAACAAAGGTCGTTTCAGAGAAGAGTGAAGATAACGGAGTAACTATTGATTTTTCTGTTACCAATGCGATCAGATCCACCCTGAAACCGAACACAACAAGGAGATAAAACAAATAACCCTTCCAAGATGAGTGACAACTATAATAGCCGCTGGTTGTTTACGAACGGAGAAACGTTTTTCGCTAAGAACCAGATAAACTTGTGATAATGACATGCTTCTAAGATTATTCATCGATGATAATATAACAAATACGAAACATACTGAAGTAGAGAAGTATATGTAAAAGGAAAGATCAATTGTATGACGTCCTGTTGGAATATTTGTTGATAAAAGTCAAAATATTTTCATTTCAATTCATCGGAAATTTGACAAAACTACACTTGAAAAATCTTCCTAATTGATTCAAATGTTCTTCTCAGGAAAAGAAAAGTTTGGACGATAGTTTATATCAAACCCAATAGAAAAAGAAACCAAAAATGGCCATTACATCGTCCAAAAACTATCGACTGTTCTCCGAATTTTCAATACGTTTTTTTTTGTTATGATAAAGCTTTGTTTCCACTCTAATTAATCAAAGATATCTGTAATTATTAACAATAGAGCATCACTTTCGCTTATTCGAGTAATTTTGCAGAACGAGTAACATGGTAAAAAATGATAATACATGGTGTTAGAGACCTATGACATCAGTTCAACACTCAAAACTATTTTACTTTTCTCAACGGAAAGGAATTTTCTCTTTAAAAACATCACGTTGTTGATTTTATTGACTTTGACTCAGAACTTATCTTTTTATCTCGAACAATTTAGACAAGTGTTTCACAAAACATCTCGTTTCATCCACAATGGCAATGGCAAATAACAAAAAACAATGTTTCGTTTGTAACAAAGACAAAATCATTTATTCTTGTTCAGGTTGTTCAAAAGAGTTTTGTTTATTACATTTAAATGAACATCTGCAAAGTTTAAATGAAGATTTCAACACGATTATCAATGATTATGATCAATTTAAAGACCAAATCAATCAAAAACAATCCGTTTCTTCCTCGATGAAACAAATTGATCAATGGGAAAAGAAATCGATCGAATATTAATTCAACAAACAGCTCAACAATATCGAAATATTTTAATCGAAAAAGGAAGAGCAGATCTCGATAAATTAAAGAGAAAATTTGATGAAATAACAGAAAAAATGAAAAAAGTTCAAAAAGAAAATGAATTTAATGAATTTGATTTGAATTATTTCAAAGATCAATTAATGGAAATGAAAAAACATTCGGAAAATCAACTGGAAATGAATTCAAAGGAAAATTCACAAATATTCATCGAAAAACTCTCGAAAAGAGTTATTCAAAGTATGTGAACGATTTCGAAGGGAATGAAAATTGATTTGAAGAAAAATTCTCATTGGAATAAATCTCGAGAAAACCTCGAAATTTGAAAGAAAAATACAAAAATTCTTTGTAGATTCGAATAATTTCAAAGGATTAGATGAGTTTATTTTGAGAGAATTCGCGAGAAATTCGTTCTTTTTCAGATTTGATGAATTTGACATTGAATTGAGTTTTGATGAGACGATGAAAGATGAAGAAGAAAAGTTTCATTTTGATTTCATCGAAACGAAAATTGTTGAAATCGAGTGAAATTTGACGATCTTTATTTAACGAAATCGTCAATTTGTTTCTCATTTTAATTAAATCAACAAATGAAAGTCTTGTCCTTTTCTTTCAAAACATTTTGAATTCGTTTTTATTTGAATATTCTTTTCAATAGTTGAAATTAATACAATTTCGATTTGGAAAAAACTTTTGAGATATTTCATTGCAAAAGTCTTTGTAGGAAAAAGTGTCAATCTTAATGAAAATAGAATTCGTTTTTCTTTATTTAGAATTAATTTTGGGGAAATGGAGACAAAATGGATCGACAATATGTGGAGGAAATGGAGAAGGAGAAGAATTAAATCAACTTTCAGATCCTGAAGGAATATTTATCGACAAACATCAAAATATTTTTATTGCGGATTCGGGGAATCATCGAATTGTTCGATTGAAAAGAAATGAAAATCGAGGAACAATAGTGGCTGGTGGAAATGGAGGAGGAAACAGTTTGAATCAATTGGATCGACCAACAGGTGTGATTTTTGATGAACAAAATAATTCAATCATCATTGCTGATTGTGGAAATCGAAGAGTAATGCGTTGGTTTTTGAACACAAATCAGTCGGAGATTCTTATTCACAATATCGACTGTTGTCGGTTAACAATGGATGAATTCGGATTTGTTTATGTTTCAGATGGGGGGAAAGATGAAGTGAGAAGATGGAAAATGGGAGAAAAGGGTGAAGGAACATTAGTTGCTGGTGGAAATGGAAAAGGAGATCAACTCAATCAGTTCAACGTTCCAACTGTTCTGTTTGTCGATGACGAACAATCTCTTTATGTTTCAGATCGGGGAAATGATCGTGTGATGAAATGGAGAAAAGATGCGCAGGAAGGAATTGTTGTTGCTGGTGGAAATGGAAGAGGAGAGAATCTGAATCAATTGGATGGTCCTGAAGGAATCATTGTTGATCATGGGGGTCGAATTTATGTTGCGGATTTTGCGAATCATCGAATAGTGCGATGGTGTGAAGGAGATGAAGAAGGTGAAATAATTGTTGGTGGAAGTGGAAAAGGAAATGGACCTAATCAATTGTCTTATCCTGTCGGTTTATTATTTGATGGTGAAGGAAATCTTTATGTTGGTGATCGTGGAAATCATCGAATTCAACGATTTGATTTAGTTCACCTTTGAAATTCATTTTTTCAGTAGTAATTCTAATTATATTGTAAAAATCAAGACACGAAGCATTTGATTAAGATAATGTGATTAAAAGTCGTTGATCGAAAAAACTTACTCACAAAAAGATCGAACATCACATTCAATAAATTTGATTTATATTCAAAGCGAAATAACAATCAAATGAAGCTACGAAGAACACAAAGTGATTTGCAGTGAAAGTGAATTTCTTCAATTTTCCAATCATTAATGAAATATGACTTGATGGCGATGGTTTGACATCTATTCGTAGAGTATCAACTGTTGTTTCGATCGATTCTTCTACCTTTTTGAATGAGTCAAAGGATCGATAGACAACATCTCTCTCTCGGTGGAATACTATCTAGGAAAGGAAACCTATTTTGTAGTGGTTTTTATTGTAACTTTCAAAATTGATTGCTACTTTTTCAACTCTAAGGAAAGTCGTTTTCCTTATTAAGCACAAATACTACCGAAACTTTAACCACTACGTTTCCTCACGACAGATTGTGCAAGAACAAAACGACGTGGCGTTTTGTTTTGTCGTTAATTCATTTTCACTGTGTCGATGGCGAAATCCACATGTCTCTCATTATGCGATGTTCTTATGCCGTGTGCTTACATTCGTTCGTTACTTATCTTCAATTATCAAATCAATAGTCTGGAAAAGGAATTTCTTCATATTTACTGTCCACAAGCATTTCAATGTATCAAAAATGAACAAATTGTCGATTGTGGTGAAGATCGACAAGTGTTCTCGTATGAATCTCGTTCAAATGAAAGTCTATCAAAGTATTTCCACAATGACTCATCAATTGATGATTTATTTCCATACAGTTTCATACCAAATGATGTTTCACCTTTGATATTCTTAGATCAGATTCGTTTCGATGATGGAATCATCTTAATTTTTGGTTGACATCATTATTTCTCTGATGGACATAGATTTAGTTTATTAGGACAACGTTTTTCTTTATGGTTCAAAGGTAAAAGACCCACTTTACTTGATCATGATCGATCGAAGTTATACCAGCTGGCGAATTCATCTACAATTCAGTTTGAACATAAAGAAATGAGTGTTATCGAATCGATTCATTCGTTCGATTTCCTTTCTTCAACACAAACCGTGATAAAAAATTTCACCAAAGAGAATTTATTCACTAAACTCCCATGTTTGCTATTGCGGTCAGATTGCGACGCAGTTGCGCGTAACTGCGGTAAAATTTCGCAGTTACGCGCAATTGCGCCAAAATGAATCGCAACTGCGCGTAACTGCAATAAAAAAATCGCAGTTATAGATAATCGCAAAAAGGAGCCTCATATTAGCACAATTCGATATTCATAGTGTGACATGCGTTGCCTTATTGATAATCCATGGTCAAAATCTTCAAATTTAGCGAGAAGTATAATTTATTCTTTCATATTTATTTTATGTTCATCAGTACATGTATAACAAAGGTATAAGTTTCGAAAAAAAGGATACTCAATAAATATCACATAGGAAAATTGTATCCGAGTAATAAGCAAGCTGAGTTCAACGAATATTCAGCAGTAGAACACGATCAGATTAAGTGGAGTGATTGTTTGCCGTGTCGTGTGCTAAAATAAATGAAAAGAAAACAACTTGTTTACTTGATCCTTTGGAATTCGAAATTAAAACGTAGTCATCAATCAATAGATTTATCATTCAAGAGAAATGAAAATAAAAAAATGAAACTTTTCATACTAATTGCTATACCTTTTCTTGCTTTCCCGATGATTGTTCGACGCTTAGCCAAGATCACATTGTGAAGCCAAATCCATATGGTTTCAAGTTCGTCTTCAGGTAAACGAAACTTACTTCGAACTGCTTCTGAAATCAAAATCAGTTAATGGTACGAAAACTAACCAATAATATATAGAAACCCTTCAGCAATTGATATCGATCATCTTTGATCACATCTTTCGTCTCCAAATTGACTAACTCTTCACGTTTAAAAATAACATCCATCAACGATGTCACGTAACGATTAGCATGTTCTTTCACACCAGAATGTTTTAACAAGTCAATGACAGTTCCATCGGCTAATGTATACAGCTGAATAGAATGTTCAAATTCAATGTTTATATATCCATCACTACAAATTTATCAATCATACCAAAGTCGCGAGATAATCAGCATTATAAATTGAGTCATCTATGCCATCTGGATTGGTCAACGAGATGTTCAACTAGAACAAAAGAATGAATTGAGTTTTTGTGTAAGAACGAATTACCTTTTGTTTTCGTAAGGTACTTTGCATCTTTTTCTGATTGCTATACAGACATTTCAGCGTAGATTCGTTTTTCTCTTGTTTCAAGAGAATAGGTCTCAAATATTGAGATTCGAATTTTTTCACTGTAATCAATAACTGTTGTAGAGTAGCCGATGTGGACGTACTTGACTTGTGCTTNAAAAAACATTCGGAAAATCTACTGGAAATGAATTCAAACGAAAATTCACAAATATTCGTCGAAAAACTTTTGAAAACAGTTGCTCAAAGTATGTGAACGATTTCAAAGATAAGAGAATTGTGAAGATTTCCAAGGGAATGAAAATTGATTTGAAAGAAAGTTCTAATTTAAATAAATCTCGAGAAAACCTCGAAATTTGAAAGAAAAATAGAAAATTTTTTGTAGATTCGAATAATCTCAAATGATTAGATGAGTTTATTTTGAGAGAATTCGTGAGAAATTTGACATTGAATTGAATTTTGATGAAAGATGAAGAAGAAGTTTTGGGTTTTTAGAGAAAAAGAAAATTAACGAAGAAAAGTTTCATTTTGATTTTATCGAAATGAAAATTGTTGAAATTGAGTGAAGTTTGACGATCTTTATTTAACGAAATCGTCAATTCGTTCCTCATTTTAATCAAATCAACAAATGAATATCTTTTCCTTTTCTTTCAAAATCAATTTGAATTCATTTTTATTTGAATATTCTTTTCAATAGTTAAAATTAAATCGATTTCGATTTGGAAAAGACTTTTCAGATGTTTCTTTGCTAACGTCTTTGTAGGAAAAAGCGTTAATCTTAATGAAAAAAGAATTCGTTTTTCTTTGTTTAGAATTAATTTTGAGGAAATGGAAACAAAGTGGATCGACAATCTGTGGAGGAAATGGAAAAGGAGACAAATTAAATCAACTTTCAGATCCTGTTGGAATATTTATCGACAAACTTCAAAATATTTTTATTGCGGATTTGGGGAATCATCGAATTGTTCGATGGAAAAGAAACGAAAATCAAGGAACAATTGTGGCTGGTGGAAATGGAAGAGGAAACAGTTTGAATCAATTGAATGAGCCAACGGATGTAATTTTTGATGAACAAAATAATTCGATCATCATCGCGGATTGTGAAAATCGAAGAGTAATGCGATGGTTTTTGAACACAAATCAGTCGGAGATTCTCATTGACAATATTAGCTGTTGGCGGTTAACAATGGATAAATTTGGATTTGTTTATGTCTCTGATTGGGGGAAAGATGAAGTGAGAAGATGGAAAATAGGAGAAAAGGGTGAAGGACGAGTGGTTGCTGGTGGAAATGGAAAAGGAGATCAACTCAATCAGTTCAAATGTCCAACTTTTCTGTTTGTCGATGATGAACAATCTCTTTATGTTTCAGATGTGGAAAACCATCGCGTGATGAAATGGAGAAAAGATGCGCAGGAAGGAATTGTTGTTGCTGGTGGAAATGGAAAAGGAGAGAATCTGAATCAATTGAGTCATCCTCGAGGAGTCACTGTTGATCATGAGGGTCGAATTTATGTTGCAGATTATGTGAACCATCGAATAATGCGATGGTGTGAAGGAGATGAAGAAGGTGAAATAACTGTTGGTGGAAATGGAGAAGGAAATGAACCAAATCAATTGTTTTATCCTTTTGGTTTATCATTTGATGGTGAAAGAAATCTTTATGTTGGTGATTATCGAAATCATCGCATTCAACGATTTGATTTAGTTCACCTTTGAAATTAATTTTTTCAGTAGTAATTTCGATTATATTGTAAAAATCAAGACACGAAGCATTTCATTAGGATAATCTGATTAAAAATCTTTGTTCGAAAAACCTTTCTCAGAAAAAGATCGAACATCACATTCAATAAATTTGATTTATATTCAAAGCGAAAAAACCATCAAATGACGCTTCAAAGAACACAAAGTGATTTGCAATGAAAGTGAATTTCTTCAGTTTTCCAATCATTAACGAAAGATGACGTGATGGCGATGGTTTGATATCTATTCGTAGAGAATAACACTTGTTGTTTCGAACGATTTTTCTACCTTTTTGAATGAGTTAAAGGACCGATAGGCAACATCTCTCTCTCGGTGAAATACCATCTAGGAAAGGAAACCTATTTTGTAGTGGCTTTTATTGTAACTTTCAAAATTGATTGCTACTTTTTCCATTCTAAGGAAAGTCGTTTTCCTTATTAAACACAAATACTACCGAAACTTTAACCACTGCGTTTATTCACGACAGATTGTGCAAGAACGTTATGGTGAGTAATTGTGACAAAACAAAACGACGTGGCGTTTTATTTCGTCGTTGACTCATTTTCACTGAGTCGATGGCGAAATCAACATGTCTCTCATTATGCGATGTTCTTATGCCGTGTGCTTACATTCGTTCTTTACTTATCTTCGACTATGAAATCAATAGTCTGGAAAAGGATTTTTTGGAATTTCTTCATATTTACTGTCCACAAGCATTTCAATGTATCAAAAATGAACAAATTGTCGATTGTGGTGAAGATCGACAAGTGTTTTCTTATGAATCTCGTTCAAATGAAAGTCTATCAAAATATTTCCACAATGACTCATCAATTGATGATTTATTTCCATATAGTTTCAAACCAAATGATGTTTCACCTTTGATTTTCTTACATCAGATTCGTTTCGATGATGGAACCATCTTAGTTTTTGGTTGTCATCATTATTTCTCTGATGGACATGGATTTAGTTTATTAGGACAACGTTTTTCTTTATGGTTGAAAGGTAAAAGACCGACTTTACTTGATCATGATCGATCGAAGTTAAACTATCTGGCGAATTCATCTACAATTCAGTTTGAACATAAAGAAATGAGTGTTATCGAACCGATTCATTCGTTCGATTTCCTTTCTTCAACACAAACCGTGATCAAACATTTCACTAAAGAGAATTTATTCACTAAACTTGGTATTACCAATGAAAAATTATCGACAAATGATGTTCTTGTCGGTTGGTTAACACAAACCATCAGTCGAATTCGTCAATTGCCATCCGAAACAACCGTTAAAGTCGGTATGGCATTGAATACTCGAATGTTCTTACCAGATATCGATGAAAACTACTTTGGTAATGCCAGTTTTTACATTTGTTTTTCTTTTTCAATGACCGATCTTCTTCATCGAACCGTTACTCAACTTGCCGAACAGATCAATCTCGATAAACGAAAATTTATGAATCGAGAATATCTTCAATCCGCTCTGGCTTACATGGCGAAATATCATCATCAATCTCCGATTTATTTAGGATGGGAAGCACATGGTGGTGTTGATCTATCCATCAGTAATTGGTCGAAATTTCCTTTGTATCAATGCGATTTTGGTAAAGGAACTCCACGTGCATTTCGTATTCCTTCGATTCTATTCGATGGTCTTATTTTTATTCTTCCAACTTCCAATCCGAACGAAATCGAACTTCATATTACATTAAAACATCAACATACAAAAGAACTGTTAACTGAATTGAACTAATAGGAAAGCTTATTCATTTATGGAAAGAGAGTTCCATCGGTGATACGAACATTTTTATCAAGTGTATAATTTCCGAAACAAACATAATCGAAATTCGCCATTGTACTTGCATTGATTTGACTTGCAAGAAAATTTTCTATCGAACATAAACCATCTTGTCTTTCTCGTGAACAAAACCCTCCTCGAATTGAATTCAATGGTAAAATACTTTTATTTAACTTCGTTCGCACCACAAACGAAGATGATTGATATCTGATCTTTTCCGTTCGGTGGGGGAAATGCTTGAGATGAATGGCTGATGTTAATTAATCGATGTTGAAATCGAGCGAGTAATTCTTAGATATAACCAAACCCTTGAGCTCGACCAGTTTCGTTTCCGAATGCATAAACATTGTAAAAAGCTAAATTCAACGCTTATTCAAACCCTCGCCATTCGTTTAATGTGAACAACGAACAAAAATCGCTGGAATTCAATGCCGAATATTCATATGCGCATAATGATTGCAGTGCAAATGCGTCGATATGATCAAAAACAAACGTCGAATTTGTATTACTGTTAAAACGAATCGTTGCGTTGAGAAGAACAAGAGCGAGATAAGAATACATCTCATCCTGATTGAAAGTAAATGCTGTTGGAATGAAGAGATTTTGACAAGCTAAAGCACCATGCAGTGTGTTGTTGCTTCCATTCTGATAAACTAAGGAGAGAATGAAGTATTGATCAGTGGAATTCGATGATCCGAAGTAGCCTGTCGCGTCCAAGCGATCGTGTCCAAAAAGGGAGAAATCACGTATGAAAAAACGTGAGAAGGGTCGATGAAAAATGCAACAAAATCGATGAAATACATGCTTCACTAATAAAAATTTGTGAATTCAACGACACGTCGAAATTCATCGAGTTTTTGGAATACCACCTATTCATCCATCTTGAGGGTGAGCGTATCGTGACGTTCGGCTGACGATACTCGTCGTAACGGCATTATGACATCTATGTATTTCTTTACATATATGATCATCATTTTAAAAAACCGAGACATTGTATTGAGTATAGATAAAGCAAACAGCATTAGTAGATTTTCACAAGTATATCTGTGCCGAGCATTGAAGTTCAAGCAAACAAAAGAAAATGACTCAACTGGAATTCTCAAAATGAATATATTAGGATTAGTGAATGCATAAGTTAATAATAAAGAGAAAGGTACTGTGCACCACTGTTAACTACAATACCAAGTCACAAGGTTAGCTACAGGAACTAGATAGTAAAATTGAATGTTTTCTTTAATATAGCAGTGCCCGGTCGAATTAGAACCAGAAGCTAAACGAATTGCAGCGCCAACACAATTGACTGTCATTTCACACCATCGAAAACATTGTGTTTTATTTATTCCATTCATGTTATCCAAATCGCCCCACGGATGATCAGTATCATATTCAGTCGCCCAATTAAAACAATTCCGTGGATCTAATAAATCAAGATGTATTTCATTCTAAGTGTCCGTCAATTGACATGTTTTGATAGAAGAAAAGGCAAGAAAGAACTATCACATCAGATCCTTAATAAAGTGCTAATTCTCTTAAAATGAACATATCTCCATGGTCGAACATAGTAGAGGTTAAAGTAGACCTCTATTGACCAGATAAAGCACTTATGTCCCATAAAATCGGCAGCATAGTAACTTTTGACTTAGACATCGGAAATATGTATCACACAAAAGGAAAATTCCAAGGAGAAACACTTACTTCGACTTTGAAAAGTTACCATGCCATTATTCGGAATAAGTTGGCCAAGTGCTGTAAATTCTGTGTACAGCAAACAGTTACGATTTGCGGTATCGAATGTTGATGTTCGACAGTTAGGATTTTGTATGCATGCGGTAATACAAAAAAGATTTGACCGAACCGACATTTGACCAAGGAAAGAAGTATTTGAATAGGATTGATAGTGAAAGTTAACAAAAACTTTACCATTGCCTACTACAGGATTATTGACACAATGACTATAAATGATTATAAACGATAGTATAATGAATGAACGAATCGGAGCAGAACTTTCTCGTCTTGACATTATGCTTCCGAACAAACGAAAGTCGTTCATGACTGATAGATCTTATCGTCGGCGTAATTCTCAGAACTTCTACTAGTCGTGAATCAATGAGTCTAAAAATTTAAAAAAAAGACGAGAGTGCCAGAAGTGCACTCGAGTGTTAATGGATCGCCCACGGGACTAATTTGAAAACTAAAAGCCTTTGAAGAATATGAAAGGGTTAAAAAGTATCATATTCTCTCCCATTATCTTCTATTTTCTTTGAATATAACATACAGAGGGGAAAATAAGGGACGTTCTCTTCGTATTGACTCGTGCCATCTTAGAAAAAACTCTATTTTTATATAAATGCAAGTAATATTTTACTTCTATCCGAGCTGCAACTGCTCATGTTTTACTACGATATCAGTGTGAGAGTTCCTTTCAAGAACGGTACGGTACGGACTTGTTTATACTTTTGTTTTCGATATTCGTCGATCAATTCAATCGTGTGTAAATCTTATGAGAGTAAAGCAGACTTTTCCCCTGATTTTAAGCGACACGTCGTATATTCATGTTCCTTCGTCGAATGATGATCTCATCACAAAATATATTTCACTGAAACCATTAAGAGTCAGACGCTCGTCATATAAAGATCTCAATTCGATTTTAATTCATATCCCATCCGGTGATGTCCAATTAGAATTCACCGATAAAGTGCTTCTTCAAGCCGATGGTTCTATTTTGCTGCAAATCAAGCTTTCATCTAAAAGACACAGAGCTCTTCGACTTTTCCCCCTGTTCCTTTCAACGAAAATATTTACTGATATTCTATTTGTGTGTAGTCCATAGCTTTCGTTAATTCACTGAATTGTAGGACATTTGTTAGCATCGAATGTGTGTGTAAAGATACTTGCATTGATTTTATTAATAATTTCAGAAATAGAAAAGTGGATATTGGCACTTTTACTTTCATCGATCTCAATACTATGCATGAGGAGTAGCGATGTCCCAGCTCAGGCAAAATTATAATTGGAAGTATTAGTAATTTTCTCTGTATATACTGTCGAAAATACGTCGATGTTGCCTATTTTTAGATATGTTTCATTTGTGATACATGTCGCACAAATTCGAATACCACTGGTTCGGTCTTAATGCCTCACTGATCTCTGGACGTTATACCATATAGTTACATTATAGGAAATGACACTTTTTCTGTATAAGAAACATTTAAAGTCTAATTTTATATCAGTTTAAAACTTGATTAACATTTTTCAATGAACATTACAGATCATAGTGTTGACAGCGCGAAAAGAATTCTCCATAAAAATTGTCATGTTCATGCAAAGGTACGAAGAGTTAAAGACAATCTTGAAAATGGAGCTTCCATGTGCAGATAGCATATACTCGACTGGCAATACAGCTGCTATATGAAATTCTCAAGTCGCACTTATTTTTCCGGTTTCTATCTGTCTTGAACAAGAATAAGAAAAATTAATTGCCATTGTTAGAAAAGGAAACAACAAATTTCTTTTTTTTTCTTCTGTAAATGTTTGTCGAAAGATCTGTGAAAATAATTTTCATTGTTGATGAAGGAGAATGGATTTCAACGAAACGATATGCAACATCGTGAACAAGGTTTATTGTTTGATTATAAGATTATCGTATCGCAACATGGCTTCAATTTCAAGCTTGATAACTTCCGATGATACCTTTTGTACTTTTACTTTATTCACACGATATAGAGAATGAATACTGTGTATTGTTAATTGTTGCTATGCCAATCGTAACAAGAAAATCTGTTGAAATAATTTAGTTTATTGTAATCATCAACAATAACCAAAGAAGAAAAAAGTTTAAACAAGATGACAAAAAACAGAGCGATGTTTTATCTATCTTGTGTCCAACAAAATTCAGGAAATTGTATTTTTATTTGTTTTCTTTCTTATGAGTATTGCTAATGTAAGTATAGTGAAGGTTTCCCGACAATTGCTTCATGTAAAAAGCATCTTTTTTTTCTTTTAATTAAATATTTAACTGAAGGCAACTTCAAACATTGAAAAGAGCTAAATAATCAGAAACGTTCATATACTAGTTGTTGGAGAAACAGTTGTGCGAATAGAAAATGTTCTGCATAATCGCTATTTTATCATTATTTCCTATTGTACAATCTGTTTATATTGGTAAAATGGAAAATAATACAATGGTTGCCACAATCAATACAACATTGGTCAATGTAACTCTCGAGCAATGCACATGTGCATTATTGTTAACATTAAACCAATCACTTATAGTTGCTTTAAATTATTTTCATATGAATCAGACTTGTCAACTATTCAGTTATAACTCTACTTCGATTTGGATAACATCAAATGTTCGCTGTACTTTCAAGTTTATCAATCGAACATCAATACTAATACAAAGTTTCCAATCCGNGGCACTTTTGCGCAACACACCGCATATTCAACCGGAGCGTATAGTGCGCCCAATTCATTAGTTGCTGTGGATTTTAACAATGATGGCTATGCAGATCTTGCAGTGGTTCTTAATTATAAAAATCAATTGGATCTTCGGTTTGGTATTGGTGAAAGCGTGTTCTCATCGCCATTGATATTTTCAATCGGAAGTCCTGGCTCACCCTTTGGATTAATCACGGGTGATTTCAATGGTGACAATAGATTAGATTTTATTGTACTAAATTCGTACTTTACTCGAGTAGTCATTTTGATCCAAGCTTGTGCGTAGTTTGTCTAAATTAGAAAAAAACGATATTGCTTTTCCTTTGATCGCTTGTGTTCGTTTGTACAGTATTATTGGTCTTGCTTACATTCTAAATATATCGCTTCATCTCGTACTGCTCTCTTGTTGGATAAGAAAAACAAACTTCTAGCGAGTTAATAGATATTTGGATAATTACAGAGATCATGAGGATCGACGATTTTTCTCCAAATGAAAAAAAAGTACTGTAGGGATGAACGGATATAATCATGGTTATGACAAAAATTTCGATTTGTATCAATGAAAATGAGATAGTGTGTTTTTTTTCAACAAAAATCTCATCATTTCTGAGTTGTTTCTTGGATTGTAATTCTTAAATAGAGAAGGATCCTCTACAGAAAAAGTCATTAATAATATCCAATACTCGGAAAATTTCGTTTGAAATTGTCGATGGTGCTATCAAAGGAATAGCTGAAGATTAGAAAAAAAATACGTAGAGAACTTCTCTCTTTGGTTAAACAAACACAAAGCGAAACATCTTTTTTTCTTCTGTCATCTTAGTTTAGGCAACTGATTCCAATGGTGAATTCTTTTTCTTGCACAAAAGTTATACGAGATATCTTTGCTCACTAAAATCTTTACTATAAGCAAAGATCACATCAAAACAATTCACTACAGGCCAACAATGTCAAAAATGGTACCCCGGCGTATCGATATTCGTAAACATACTTCTCTTAAAGTTAGATAATGACAATGATGAACATGACAAAGGTTATCAGAACATTTTCATCCAATTACAACGCATTGTCAACTATGTGAACACATTCACAGATGGTGAACAATGCGTGGATTTCATTGAAATAATCAAAGATTGTAAGGCATGTGTAATTACATCAGGATTTCTTGGGCAACAAACTGTATCTTGTATACATAACCTACCTCAAGTCGATTCTATTTTCGTTCTTTATGGTAACAGCAAGCGCCACGAACAGTGGACGAAAGAATGAACAAAACGCTACGTCTATAAGTTTTGTTTCATGTGGTAAAAACTTGGATAAACTTGATCCATCGTTTATGTATACACAAATCATCAAGTTCACCAACAAACACATTCAAGATTATGTGAAATACTATCGTGAAGTTTTAGCAGAGAATCCTGCAGAACAGAAGAACGTTGAACACCTGAATCATTAATGTCGTGAGAAAACACTAGTCGGTGGTATATCTGTGAATGTTTCTTATGCCGAATGTTCAATCGTAGTATCCGACTGATGGATGGTGATATTATGACACGAGTGGGCTTCTTTATCAACGACCTTCAGCAACACATTAAGGAACTGCACAAACAAAAGGTAGATTGAAGTCATTTAACAACTTCCTGTCTACCAGTACTGATCACAAAGTGTCACTTCGCTTTGCTCAACAAACTGCAAGTATTCTAGACTTGGCTGGAAACAGCAGACTCTACGAAGTGAATTTGCGACTGATAGGTTTGATGCTATCAAATATGGGTCAAAATGACAAAACTGAAAAGATTTATGGAATGTTCATTGATGAAACCATAAAAAAAGAGTGCAAAATTAACAATTTATAATCAACTGGGCTTGGTCAAAAATAATCACGAAGAATATGAAGAAGCATTTCAAAACTATGAAGACTTACCTGCGATCTTAGGAAAAGCTCTTTCTTCTGACGATCCTAAGTTAACTTCGTTTTACGGTAACATTGGTTTAGTGTATGTCGACATAGGTGATCACGAAAATGTATTTTCAGCTCATGAATTTCAATATCAATCACTTCCTGCTAATCATCCCGATTTAGCTCTATCCTATGCGAGCATTGGTATTCTTTATAAAGCATGCACGATTATTCCGACGCCTGCTCATTTTTCGAACGTGTCGTATAAATTGCACAACAATCATTACCCTTTGGCCATTCGAATTTTCAACGCCTGACACGCAACCTGAAGCGCATCAAAAAAGAAATTACACGACTAAATAGACGCATTCACTGTTTCTTTTGTTATAATTGAAAAAGTAAATTCTGCAAAGCATAACAAATTCGAATCAAGGACTAACCATTCCGTTTATCCAAAAACAAGGATATTTTGAGTTTTCACTTAAAACAAGTATACTTGATACTGTTAAAATCAACGTTAATTAACATTTGTTGTATTTCTCCCATATAGTACGAAGAATAAGACAAATTTCTGACGTATTCAGAGAAGCTTCTATTCTGCGTTCTAGATATTCAACATATCGTTGAAGTATGTCCTTGAAAAGAAAGCAAGATAGAAAATAAAACAGGATTCTTTTTTGAGCTGAGCTGTGTCTAGGAGACTAGTGACACCGTTTTTAGTTCTTGAAGAAAACAATTAAAAAAAGTCACAGTGAAACAGGGTGTTCTCAATCATGTCCACGAATAATACCACAGAAGTGATAGGCAAAAAATTATCAATAGAAGTTCTCATTGTTTCTTATTTTTCACTGACTTTGGTGATTATCGGCACATCACTCAACTCATTAACCTTTATCATTCTTTGTCGTGCAAGATTTCGAAATACGAAAGTAAGGCCAGTTCTTCATTATATGCGCACCATTGCCGTTTTTGACATTCTCATGTTATACGGATGGAACTTTGACAATTATGTTTATCCAATTTATGGTTTTTTCCTTCAAAGAACTTCTATCGGTACGTGCAAATTCCTTTCGTTCCTCAACTATTTTGCATCCCAATCATCAGCTTGGTTTCGCATATTTATCTGTCTCGATCGATACTTAACATTAAGTCAACTTCACCGAACATGGTTCAGCTATTCCAAACATGTCTTCATCGTTATTGCAAGTATTTTGACATTTTTCTTTCTTCTCAATCTACATATTATCATCTTCGCTTGCTACTATAATCCAAATGGTACAGTGAACATTAACTCATCACTATTTACACTCTATCCCACTTGGAATTACGTTAAACTGGCGTTTTACAATCTCTTGCCATTGACATTGATGATGGCACTGAACAGTAGTGTCATCTATCATCTCCGAATGCTGCAACGCACAACGACTTTACAAAATTCACGTATTCAACATCGATCTATCACTATTACATTAGTCAGTACTACAGTTCTCTTTTTCATCATGACAACACCAGCAGCTATTGGATTTACATTTTTTTCGGATAGTAACCGAACCATTCTTCGATCTACAGATTGCATATCGTATGGATATCATATATTGTCATTTCCATTGTATATGATTACATTTGATGAATTTCGCCAAGAATTCTTTGCAATGATTATGTGTAAGAGAAATAATCAGAGAGTTGCAGTAGTAAAGATGACTACAAAGCAAGTGAATAACACAAAATAGCGCTGTAATCGCGAAAGAATACATTATGACACTCATGAATGCTTGTTGTACTTGCTATAATTTATCGCTGTAGATCTATAATTGTTTAAGTATTGTATGTTTATCTATCAATAAACTCTTGAGAGTGAGGATATTTAAAGATCAGAATCTATACAAAACGATGATTCGTCGTCCGTCACCCGTCGTCGCTTAAATCAAACGTTTAACTCACACATAGAAAAAAAACAACATCATGGATGAAGAGAAGAATGATACCGATGCCATGGAAAAGTCCTTGCCGTAATACTCAAGCATATGTTTTTTCATCGTTCTAAACAAATACGAAAAGGACAGAAAAATCCACGTATCGTGCAGTATTAAATGCTAAATATAGTTTGTTTCTTTACATATATGATCATCATTTTAAAAAGCCAAGACATTGTATTGAGTATAGATAGAGCAAACAGCATTAGTAGATTTTCACAAGTATATTTGTACCAAGCATTGAAGTTCAAGCGAACAAAAATGACTCAACTGGAATTCTCAAAATGATATATTAGGATTAGTGAATGCATAAGCTAATAATAAAGAGAAAGGTACTGCGCACCACTGCTAACTACAATACCAAGTCACAAGGTTAGCTACAGGAACTAGATAGTAAAATTGAATGTTTTCTTTAACATAGCAGTGCCCGGTCGAATTAGAACCAGAAGCTAAACGAATTGCAGCGCCAACACAATTGACTGTCATTTCACACCAACGAAAACATTGTGTTTTATTTATTCCATCCATATTATCCAAACCGCCCCACGGATGATCAGTATCATATTCAGTCGTCCAATTAAAACAATTCCCTGGACCTAATAAATGAAAATATATTTCATTTTAAGTATCCGTCAATCGACATGTTTTGATGGAAGAAAAAGCAGGGAAGAACTATCACACTAGATCCTCGATAAAGTGCTAATTCTCTTAAAATTAACCTATCTTCATGGTCGAACATAGTACAGCTTAAAGCAGATCTCGATTGTCCGGATAAAACACTTCTGTCCCATAAAAATCGCCAGTAGTAAATTTTGACTTAGACATCGTAAATATGTATCGCACAACAGGAAAATTCCAAGGAGAAACACTTACTTCGACTTTGAAAAGTTACCATGCCGTTATTTGAAATAAACTGTCCAAGCCCTGTAAATTCTGTGTACAGCAAACAGTTACGATTTGCGGTATCGAATGTTGATGTTCGGCAATTAGGATTTTCTATGCATGCGGTAATACAAAAAAGATTTCACCGAACCGACATTTGACCGAGGAAAGAAGTATTTGAATAGCATTGATACTGAAAGTTAACAAAAACTTTACCATTGCCTACTACATGATTATTGATACAATGACTATAAATCATTATAAACGATAATATAACGAATGAATGAATTAGAACAGAACCTTTTCGTCTTGACATTATGCTTCCGAAGAAACGAAAGGCGTCAATGACTCATAGACCTTATCGTCTGCGTAATTCTCAGAACTTCTACTAATTGTGAATTAGTGCGTCCAAAAATAAAAAAAACCGAGAGTGTCAGAAATGCACTCGATTGTTAATGGATCGTTTGTGGGACTGATTTGAAAACTAAAAGCCTTTGAAGAATATGAAAGAGCTAAAAAGTATCGTATTTTCTCACATTATCTTCTATTTTCTTTGAATATAACATATAGACGGGAAAATCAGGGATGTTCTCTTCGTACTGACTTGTGCCATCTTAGAAAAAAAAACTCTATTTTTAGATGAATGCAAGTAATATGTTACTTGTATCCGAGCTGTAACTGCTCAGTTTTACTACGATACTAGTGTGAGAGTTCGTTTCAAGAGCGGTACGGACTTGTTTATACCATTGTTTTCGATATTCGTCGATCAATCCAATCGTGTGTAAATCTTATAAGAGTAAAGCAGATTTGTTCCCCTGATTTTAAGTAACACGATATCTGGTTGATAGTCGTATATTCATGTTCCTTCATCGGATGATGATCTCATCACAAAACATATTTCACTGAAACCATTAAGAGTCAGACGCTCGTTATATAAAGATCTCAATTCGGTTTTAATTAATATATCATACGGTGATATCCGATTAGAATTCACCGATAAAGTACTTCTTCAAGCCGATAGCTCTATTTTTCTACAAATCAAGCTTTCATCTAAAAGATGCAGAACTCTTCGATTTTTTCTCCTCCTCCTCCTTTCAACGAAAATATTTACTGATATTCTATTTGTGTGTAGTTCATACCTTTCGTTAACACTTAATTGTAGGACATTTGCTAGTATCGCATGTGTGTGCACAGATACTTGCATTGATTTTATCAATAATTTCAGAAATAGAAAAGTGGATATTGGCACTTTTACTTTCATTAATCTCAATACTACGCATGAGGAGTAGCGGTGCCCCAGCTCAGACAAAATTATAATGGGAAATATTAGTTACTTATTTTTCTGGTTTCTATCTGTCTTAAACAAGAATTAGACAAATTAATTGCCATTGTTGGAAAAGGAAACAACAAATTTCTTTTTTTTCTCTTCTGTAAATTTTTGCCGAAAGATCTGTGAAGATAATTTTCATTGTAGATGAAGCAGGATAGATTTCAATCAAACAATATGCAATATCGCGAACAAGCTCCATTGTTTAATTACAGGATTATCGTATCTTAAGATTGCTTCATTCTCAAGTTTGACAACTTCCGATGATATATAATAAAGAATCAAAATATCCACTACATTTACCTTTTGTACTTTTACTTTGTTCACACGATATAGAGAATGAATACTGTGTATTTTTAACTGTTGCTATGCCAATCGTAACAGGAAAATCTGTTGAAATAATTTATTTTGTTGTAATCATCAACAAAGAAGAACACGTGTAAACAGGATGACAAAAAAACAGAGCGATGCTTTATCTATCTTGCGTAAAACAAAATTCAGGAAATTGTATTTTTATTTGTTTTCTTTCTTATGATTATTGTTAATGTAAGTATATTGAAGGTTTCCTGACAATTGTTTCATGTAAAAAGCATATTTTTTCTTTCTTTTAATTAAATATTTAACTGAAGGCAACTTCAAACATTGAAAAGAGCTAAATAATCAGAAACGTTCATGTAATAATTGTTGGAGAAACAGTTGTGCGAATAGAAGATGTTCTGCATAATCGTTATTTTATCATTATTTTCTATTGTACAATCTGTTTATATTGGTAAAATGGAAAATAATACAATGGTTGCCACAATCAATACAACATTGGTTAATGTAACTCTCGAGCAATGCACATGTGCATTATTGTTAACATTAAACCAATCACTTACTGTTGCTTTAAATTATTTTCACATGAATCAGACTTGTCAACTATTCAGTTATAACTCTACTTCGATTTGGATAACATCAAATGTTCGCTGTACTTTCAAGTTTATCAATCGAACATCAATACTAATACAAAGTTTCCAATCCGATAGTAAGTTCAACACATATATATCCCAATCAGTTGTGACAACCGCAGCAATACAATATTCTTCTCTTTTGTTCCAAGGATCAACATCAACAACAACTACGACTCAGACGACGTCGACCACCGCAGGTAACTGATTTGCATTGACAAATAAGTCTTTTCGAGAATGACATACTCTCTTCTGCGATAGCTCAATTTAATTTGACATTTTCGCTGCAAGTTGCGTATCCAACGGGAATTAGTTCATATCCGGCACCTGTTTTTGTCGCTGATGTCAATCAAGACAATAACTTGGACATCATTGTTGGAAACTTTGGATCTGATACGATTGGCATTTTCTTGAATACCGGAACTGGTACATTTCGTTCCCCAATAAATTATATATCTGCAACTGGGTACATTTCCAATCCTAATTCTTTGTCGGTGACTGATGTTAATGGTGACAACACGCCCGATATTATTGTTGCAAATCAAGGAGCTGATAATGTTGGTGTTTTCTTTAACATTGGTAATGGTACATTTATTTTTTCGTCAACATATTCAACTGGAAGTAGTTCATATCCGGCGTGTGTGTCAGTCTCTGATATTAACAATGACCAGAAGCCCGATATTGTCGTTGTCAATTTTGGTACTGATAATATCGGTGTGTTGCTTAATTTTGGAAATGGTACGTTTCGTCCTCAAATATTATATTCAACTGGTTCTAAACCACAAAGCGCGTATATACTGGACGTCAATGGAGATGATAAGCCAGATATTATTGTTGGAAATTACGGTGATGGTAATGTTGGCGTTTTTATCAACTATGGCAATGGTACGTTTCGTTCTCAAGTATCTTATTCGACTGGAGGTAATTCGAAACCGTATTCTGTGTTTGTTGAAGACATGAACAGCGATGGAAAGTTTGATATTATTGTCGCAAATAGTGGCAATCGCAATGTAGGCGTTCTATTTAGCTATGGTAATGGAACATTTCGTTCTCAAATAACTTATTCAACTGGAAGTGGTTCGAGTCCGTATTGTGTATTTGTCAATGACATGAATAACGATGGAAAACTTGATATTATTGCCGTAAATCGTGGCACAAACAACGTTGGAATTTTCCTGAACACCGGCAATGGCACATTTCTTTCCCAGCAAACCTTTGCAGTTGGCTCACAGCCGTTTTCATTGTTTGTGGCTGACATTAATTTCGATAGTAAATCCGATATTGTCGTAACAAACCTAGGTAGCGACAATGTTGGAGTCTTACTGGCCAATTGGTATTAACATATCCATAAAAGTCATATTGACTGAAGAAAGAGAAATCTTATTTACTTTACCCTTTGTAGTGTGTACATGTATGACGTTTAAATATTAACGAAATAGTCATAAGTTACTCACTTTTCATTCAGAACAATAAAATCATTTTAATATTATCTTAAATATTACCAAAATAACATGAACGAGAAAGCTTTTCTCTTCTCCTATGTCATATGTGTGATAATTTTGTACGATCAATCTCACTCGAGCGGTAACATGGGCAGTTCGACTTCTTTTATAGCTCTTCTAAGAACGTTTTACTCGATAGTCTGGAATTGATAGTCGTTGTTTGGAAACATCAAAACGGAAGATAATATTGCAGATATGCGACTATCCTTATATACGTAGATTAGATGAGAAATGTTCTTTGATCATATGGAATCGGATTTACGGATGTGAATTCCAGTGGAACGGATCAAGACGGAAACGAAAAACTTTATTTTTATTTTTATATATTTTTTTCTCTCGCTGTCACGTTTTCTGACATATTTCTTTCAGCCATGCCACGACCGTTCTCTCAATCGTAACAGTTTTTAGCAGTGTAAAGTATTGTTCATAAAAACAATTAGTAAAATGCTTATAGTTATTCATCTTTTATCAAGATTCAGTAGTGCTTGTCGTGAAAACTGAACGAAGGGAATAAAAAGTATTGTGGAAGATCCGTATACTTCACCCGTCAAAATTCTAATTTTGAAAAAAACTATTTAGCAACTCTTTTGTTCTTTTTTAAAACCAGAAATAAAGAGACAAATGCAAACAGAGTTACAAAAAAAAGAATGCGTAATTTACAAAATACATTTTGAGATATTGAATAGTGTCAAACTCAAAAAGTGGAATTCAGTTATTCAGAAGAAAAAAAGAGAATTGCATCGTCGACTAGCACGATCTTTTCCGATAGACGTCTGATTGATGGAGCCTTTTACATTCTATCATATGTAAATTGATCTTTACGATGAGAAATAATAGCAATTTTTAGACGTCGAATTTCCATTATTCTTATGTAACCCGTTTTTCTGTATGTGTGAATGGTTACTATTTAGATCTTGCATGTTAATTGACTCATCGTGTTTCGCTTCAATATTTGACATTGTGGATCATGAGCTTGGAATGATTGTACAATGAAATACTATTGTACTTGTTTGAATTCATTGGCGATGTCCAATTTTTTTAAGCTTCCTGTGGTCTTAAATATCGATTGAACTTGTTATTTTTCTTATCAAGTCGGTATCGAAGAGCATTTTCTCACAGCTGATATGTTTAAGCCCTGATCGTATTATTTCGGTTCACTTCTCAAATAAGGATGAAACGCCTGGTTTGATCGAACACTATTTTGAGCGAAATATACCATTTCATTTCGAAGAATGTTATATAAGAGTGACTGACGNCAATGTAACTCTCGAGCAATGCACATGTGCATTATTGTTAACATTAAACCAATCACTTATAGTTGCTTTAAATTATTTTCATATGAATCAGACTTGTCAACTATTCAGTTATAACTCTACTTCGATTTGGATAACATCAAATGTTCGCTGTACTTTCAAGTTTATCAATCGAACATCAATACTAATACAAAGTTTCCAATCCGATAGTAAGTTCAATACATATATATCCACATCAGTTGTGATAACCGCAGCAATACAATATTCTTCTCTTATCTTCCAAGGATCAACATCAACAACAACAACAACAACTCAGACGACGTCGACCACCACAGGTAACTGATTTGCATTGACAAATAAGTCTTTTCGAGAATGAAATACTCTCTTCTGCGATAGCTCAATTTAAATTGACATTTTCGCCGCAAGTTGCATATCCAACGGGAATTAATTCATATCCGGCACCTGTTTTTGTCGCTGATGTCAATCAAGACAATAACTTGGACATCACTGTTGGAAACTTTGGATCTGATACGATTGGCATTTTCTTGAACACCGGAAATGGTACTTTTGGTTCCCCAATAAATTATATACCTGCAACTGGAAGCCTTTCCAATCCTAATTCTTTGTCGGTGACTGATGTTAATGGTGACAACGCGCCTGATATTATTGTTGCAAATCAAGGAGCTGATAATGTTGGTGTTTTCTTTAACATTCGTAATGGTACATTTATTTTTTCATCAAAATATTCAACTGGAAGTAATTCAAAGCCGGCGTGTGTGTCAGTCTCTGATGTTAATAATGATCAGAAGCCCGATATTGTCGTTGTCAATTATGGTACTGATAGTGTTGGTGTGTTGCTTAATTTCGGAAATGGTACGTTTCGTCCTCAAATGTTATATTCAACTAGTTCTAATCCACAAAGCGTGTATATACTGGACGTCAATGGAGATGATAAGCCAGATATTATTGTTGGAAATTACGGTGATGATAGTGTTGGCGTTTTTATCAACTATGGCAATGGCACGTTTCGTTCTCAAGTATCTTATTCGACTGGAGCTAATTCGAACCCGTATTCTGTGTTTGTTGAAGACATGAACAGCGATGGAAAGTTTGACATTGTTGTCGCAAATAGTGGCAATCGCAATGTAGGCGTTCTATTCAGTTATGGTAATGGAACATTTCGTTCTCAAATAACTTATCCAACTGGAAATGGTTCGCGTCCGTATTGTGTATTTGTCAATGACATGAATAATGACGGAAAACTTGATATTATTGTCGTAAATCGTGGCACAAACAACGTTGGTATTTTCCTGAACACCGACAATGGCACATTCCTCTCTCAGCAAACCTTTGCAGTTGGCTCACAGCCGTTTTCATTGTTTGTGGCTGACATTAATTTCGATAGTAAATCCGATATTGTCGTAACAAACTTAGGTGGCGACAATGTTGGAGTCTCACTAGCCAATTGGTATTAACATATCCATAAAAGTCATATTGACTGAAGAAAGAGAAATCTTATTTATTTTATGCTTTGTAATTTGTACATGTATGACGTTTAAATATTAACGAAATAGTCATAAGTTACTCACTTTTCATTCAGAATAATAAAATCACTTTAATGTTATCTTAAGTATTGCCACAGTAACATGAACGAGAAAGCTTTTCTCTTCTCCTATGTCATATGTGTGATAATTTTGTACGATCAATCTCACTCGAGCGGTAACATGAACAAACAGATCAAGACGGAAACGAAAAAATTCATTTTTATTTTTACATATTTTTTTCTCTCGCTGTCACGTTTTCTATTGTAATCATTCTTTATAAAAGTTTTCTGAAATATTTCTCTCGGTCATAACAGTTTCTAGCAGTGTAAAGCATTTGTTCATAAAAACAATTAGTAAAATGCTTAGTTTTTCATCTTTTATCAAGATTCAGTAGTGCTTGTCGTGAAAACTGAACGAAGTGAATAAAAAGTATTGTGAAAGATCCGTATACTTCACCCGTCAAAATTCTAATTTTCAAAAAAAACTATTTAGCAACTCTTTTGTTCTTTTTTAAAATCAGAAAAAAAGACACGTGCAAAAAAGAGCTACAAAAGGATGAATGCGTAATTTACAAGATACATGTTGAGATATTGAATAGTGTCAAACTCAAAAGTGGAATTCAGTTATTCAGAAGGAAAAACGAGAATTGCATCGTCGACAAGCGCGATCTTTTTCGATAGACATCTGATTGATGGAGCCTTTTACATTCTATCATATGTAAATTTATCTTTACGATGAGAAATAATAGCAATTTTTAGGTGTCTAGTTTCCATTATTCTTATGTAACCCGTTTTTCTGTATGTGTGAATGGTTACTATTTAGATCTTGCATGTTAATTGACTCATCGTGTTTCGCTTCAATATTTGACATTGTGGATCATGAGCTTGGAATGATTGTACAATGAAATACTATTGTACCTGTTTGAGTTCATTGGCGATGACCAATTTTTTTAAGCTTCCTGTGGTCTTAAATATCGATTGAACTCGTTATTTTTCTTATCAAGTCGGTATCGAAGAGCATTTTCTCACAGCTGATATGTTTAAGCCCTGATCGTATTATTTCAGTTCACTTCTCAAATAAGGATGAAACGCCTGGTTTGATCGAACACTATTTTGAGCGAAATATACCATTTCATTTCGAAGAATGCTATATAAGAGTGACTGACGAGACGTATCAGTTGCTGATTAACAGTATTTGAGAACTTCCACAATTAGTTCGTTGGTATTATTGACATCAACTTCCTTGCAAGACTATGTGTTGATAATCCGATAGCAACAGCAGTATTTTTAAATCGTCTGATCGTTCAGTCTGGAAATATTCGTTCCGATATGTTGTTAGGACTATTTGTGCATACGCCGCCCTGTCTCAAATATTTATCCATAGAAATCAATGAGCAATTCGGTTTTTGATGATTTACTATGGCAGTTCAAATCACTTGTTTCATTGAAGCTCTATGCTTGCGACGCTTCGATTACCGTGGAAAAACTTTTGAGATCTACGCCAAATCCACGACATTTGATGGTCGAATCAGTAGATACGTATTTGGGCAATTTGCACAATATTTTAGGCAATAGAATTGCTGATAATTGGCATGAATACTAAAGCTGTTTCGACATAATTTTTTCGTCGATGTCAATGAACATTTGTGGGAGAACATATCACAGCTTTAAGTCATATCTAAATCAACATCTCCCGAAGGAACTGATTACTAGTGCTATAGTCGTGTGCCACAACTGCACTATTACTGCTCATTCAAACCGTGTTCGATACTAGATCGGATTCAATTCTGTAATGTGCGTTGTCTTTCCATTGAACTGCAAGAATATGTCGAACGCAACCATGATCATTGGTTCAATAGCCAATAATGCAAAGTATTGACCAGATCTACATTCGGCAGACGCTGAACATCCGATGGACGTTATTGATTTAATTTATTCGATGCTAAACTTGCGCGCATTGAATGTACAGATTATACTTCTGGCACATATTCAGATAGGAGGAATGAAGATAAAACTATGCGAGCTTTACGAGATATTTTCAGTTCAGCTAGTACGATGACAAGAGATGAATGGAACGCCAATCAGATTCATTTATGGATTCGCTAAAACGGTGATGATACAATTTTCCCTTTTTATCACTTTTGGAACAGTCTTAAGTATTCAGAAAACGAGAGAAGAAACCTATGAATGATCTTGGGTCTTTCTTTTTTTTTTGTTTTGCGCACGCGGTAGAACAAGTTGGAAATTTAGTTTTTGTATATCTGGCTCAGTTTTCAAAAAAAAGAGATCTGAGTTTTCCTCATGAATACAAATACCAAAAAGGAGCTCCCTCCGTGTATTCGCGCGATCGTGTGGCCGTTGAACTAAACGATAAAATATGCTTTAAAGAAATTCTATAGCGCACAACCTCTTCATTGATAAGCTTGATCCACACCGGAAGTATTCGCGTTGATTGTCTGTTTAGAATGAACAACAACTGAATTGACTTATCGCATGTTGCAGTCGCGAGAAGTTCATCGACAGATTGTTTCATACGATTACGTAAAGTTTCCTATAAAATCAAATGAAGGCAGATTTTAGTGACCAATGCTGCTTTTTAGAGATATCCGAATAAACGGAAAAACGATCATTGTGTAAAGAGATCTAAGAAATGGTCGAATCTTTCTTGAATTAGTCCACATTCTTTTTTATTTTACTTTTGAAATTAATCAGAATCAAAATAATTAGTTCTGTAAAATCAAGAGCTTCGAAGTTATATAATGCAATAACGAGCACTACCGATGGGCGCACTAAGAAGAGCGAAAACATAGTAATCTCCACAACTGGTTGCTTTGACTGGTGTGCACCACCTGCAATTATTCGAGCCATTATTGAAACAGACAATACTTGTGGCTGTAGTGTAAAATGTTGAGGGGTAAAGACCAGCGTACCAGCCTGGATATGTTGCATCGCAATAACCTGTTGATACTGGATAGTCCATCAAATTCTGATCGCTCCCATTTTGAAATCTTATCCATATAAATAAAGTAGAAGAGAATGGCCAAGAATTATCACTACTCAGGTAGTATCCCGAATAGTACGAATAAAGTCTCGTACTATCTGAAATCGTCAAATAAGTAGAACATTGTGGCGGAATTGTTGTTGATGGTTCGAACCATGTTATCGGTGTTAGTGACGGAGAGCATATCGGAAATGTTGTTGTTGCTAAATAAAAATTTTATTTAATACACTGCGTATACTAGTTGAATAAGAAATCAAGACTTATTTATTGAAAAATAGCTTACAAGTCGTACTTGTCGTTGTTATCGAAGTAGCTATGGATATAAAAGTAATATTTTATGATTCTTTTCTAGATAAAACTTTGAATAGATACTTGAAGTGCTGGTAGTAGTCGTAGTTGTTGTTGTTGTTGTGGTCGACGTTGTCGTTGTCGTTGTTTTTGATTGATCAATAGTTATGAAAAGTGCAACAATCGATGCGACAATGCATGTTATAGCAACGAGAATAAATATTGTCGAACCAATAATCCATCGCGACGAACAACGTTTTTGTCGAGTAATTCGCTGAAGTTCAACTATTGCGATCGGCGATGTTTTCTCATTCGTTTTCAACTGTATGCTCATTTCTTTCCGTTGAGATGAAATTTGCTGTTTACGAGGAAACATTTCGTGGGAAGAGTGATGCTTATTCATTTCTACAAAATAAATTCAATCAAATAAAATATAGACGCAGAAAAAGAATTTATATGGTCTCCACCTATCGCGTCTTGGCAACAAATTATTACGACGTGTCTGATACTTTACATATAAAAATAGATGACCTACAGAGACTGTCTTATTATAATAGGCAAATAAATTCATTTGTATGCATAGAACTTACGAGAAAGAAAGAAACAAAGAACATGTTTTGATAAAGTCGTAATGACCTTCACTGCGTATGTGTTANGGCAGTTCAAATCACTTGTTTCATTGAAGCTCTATGCTTGCGACGCTTCGTTTACCATGGAAAAACTTTTGAGATCTACGCCAAATCCACGACATTTGATGGTCGAATCAGTAGATACGTATTTGGGCAATTTGCACAATATTTTAGGCAATAGAATTGCTGATAATTGGCATGAATACTAAAGCTGTTTCGACATAATTTTTTCGTCGATGTCAATGAGCATTTGTGGGAGAACATATCACACCCTTAAGTCATATCTAAATCAGCATCTCCCGAAGAAACTGATTACTAGTGCTATAGTCGTGTGCCACAACTGCACTATTACTGCTCATTCAAACCGTGTTCGATACTAGATCGGATTCAATTCTGTAATGTACGTTGCCTTTCCATTGAACTGCAAGAATATGTCGAACGCAACCATGATCATTGGTTCAATAGCCAACAATGCAAAGTATTGACCAGATCTACATTCGGATTGATGCTGAACATTCGATGGACGTAATTGATTTAGCTTATTCGATGCTAAACTTGCGCGCATTGAATGTTGTTCAGATTAGAAATGATACAGATCATACTTCTGGCACATATTCAGATAGGAGGAATGAAAATAAAACTATCCGAGCTTCACAAGATATTTTCAGTTCAGCTAGTACGATGACAAGAGATGAATGGAACGCCAATCAGATTCATTTATGGATTCGTTAAGACGGTGATGACATAATTTTCCCTTTTTACCACTTATAGACTAGTCTTAAGTATTCAGAAAACGAGAGAAGAAAGCTATGAATGACCTTACGTCTTTCTTTTTCTTTGTTTTGCGCGCGCGGTAGAACAAATTGGAAATCTAATTTATGTATATTTGATTCAGGTTTGAGAAAAAAGGAGCTCCTCCGATGTATTCGCGAAGGTGTGACCGTCAAAATATCTTTAAGAGAACTTCGATGACTCAGTTATATGTCATTCCATCGAACTAAACGATGAAATATGCTCTAAAGAAATTCTATAACGCAAAAACGTAGTGATATCAAATAGATTGAGCCATTTGGGCTCTTCATTGATACGCTTGATCCACACCAAACGTATTCGCGTTGATTGTCTGTTTAGAATGAACAACAATTGAGTTGCCTTATCGCATGTCGCAGTCGCGGGAAGTCAATCGACAGATTGTTTCATACGATTATGTAAAGTTTTAGAAATAATCGCGTATGCATCCGAAAGTACATAGAAAAATCCATTCGAGCAATTGAAACTACCAAACAAGAAATGATTATCGGATAATAATGTTGTTATTGATTAGTCGACCAACATTTTGATTGTGGTTATCGAACGAGTCGCTACGAAACTGTTCCACTTTTCGCGCTGTCGTCGACACGTCAAGATTCCTATAAAACGAAATGAAGGCAGATTTTAGTGACCAATACTGGTTTTTAGAGATATCTGAATAAACGGGAAAACGACTATTGTGTAAAGCGATTTAGCAAATGGTCAAATCTTTCTTGAATTAGTCCAGGTTTTTTTTATTGTACTTTTGAAATCAATCAGAATGAAAATAATTAGTTTTGTAAAAAAAAACGAGCTTTCAAGTTATATAATGCAATAGCGAGCAGCACAGATGGGCGCACTAAGAAGAGCGAAAACATAGTAATTTCCACAACTGGTTACTTTGACTGGTGTGCACCACCTGCAATTATTCGAGCCATCATTGAAACAGACAATACTTGTGGCTGTAGTGTAAAAGGTTGAGGGGTAAAGACCAGCGTACCAGCCTGGATATGTTGCATCGCAATAACCTGTTGATACTGGATAGTCCATTAAATTATGATCGCTCCCATTTTGAAATCTTATCCATATAAATGAGGTAGAAGAGAATGGCCAAGAATTATCACAACTCGGGTAGTATCCCGAATAGTAAGAAGGAAGTCTCGTACTATCTGAAATCGTCAAATAAGTGGAACATTGTGGCGGAATTGTCGTTGATGGTTCGAACCATGTTATAGGTGTTAGTGACGGAGAGCATATCGGAAATGTTGTTGTTGCTAAATAAAAATTTTATATAATACACTGCGTATACTAGTTGAATAAGAGATCAAGACTTATTTATTGAAAAATAACTTACAAGTTGTACTTGTCGTTGTTATCGAAGTAGCTATGAATATAAAAGTAATATTTTATGATTTTTTTCTAGATAGAACTTTGAATAGATACTTGAAGTGCTGGTAGTAGTGGTAGTTGTTGTTGTTGTTGTAGTCGACGTTGTCGTTGTCGTTGTTTTGGATTGATCAATAGTTATGAAAAGTGCAACAAGCGATGCGACAATGCATGTTATAGCAACGAGAATAAATATTGTCGAACCAATAATCCACCGCGACGAACAACGTTTTTGTCGAGTAATTCGCTGAAGTTCAACTATTGCGATCGGCGGTGTTTTCTCATTCGTTTTCAAGTGTATGCTCATTTCTTTCCGTTGAGATGAAGTTTGTTGTTTACGAGGAAACATTTCGTGGGAAGAGTGATGCCTATTCATTTCTATAAAATAAATTCAATCAAATAAAATATAGACGCAGAAAAAGAATTTATATAGTCTCCACCTATCGCGTCTTGGCAACATATTATTACGACGTGTCTGATACTTTACATATAAAAATAGATGATCTGCAGAGACTGTCTTATTATAATAGGCAAATAAATTCATTTGTATGCATAGAACTTACGAGAAAGAAAGAAACAAAGAACATGTTTTGATAAAGTCGTAATGACCTTCACTGCGTATGTGTTAATCGGATTTATTATATGATGAGAAGTCTTCTTATATGTAGGAAAAATTAACTTGTACAATAGCGACAGTTACAAAAAGGAGGTGCAACGAGACCGAAAACATAAAAACTTCCACAGTTAGTAACGGACATGAGTCTGCATGTTCCGCATTGGTTAACACTCGAAAAGTAAAAACAAGCAATGCTTGTTGCAGTTGTATAGACTGTCAGGGGATAGTTTCCGGCGTACCAGCCTGTATAAAATGTTCCACAAAAGTTATTGGATATTGGTATTTTGACGACCATCGAGCCAGCTGCACCTTGAAATCGCATCCACACAATACGGTTGCTAAATGGCCAGGAAATATCACAGTAAGAAGTTGATGCAGTATATGAATACCGACGTGTCGCATCGGTGTCCACTGTATAGTTTATACATTGCCCTGGAATCGTAGCGGATGTTGTGTACCATGTATCAGGTATAGTTGAACACACAGCATTTGTTGTTGATGCTAAATTGAATTTCAAAGATGCCTTGGTATTTTGTCAGAGAAAGTCACTGAATTTGATCTCATTTGATTAGTTACAAAGATACTCACTAGTACTTGTTGTGCTTGTAGAAGTTGTTGAAGTGGAACCTATTGCCTCAAAAGTAATTCTTTATCTTGGAAAGCAATATGCATACTTGTCGTGCTCGTCGTACTTGTCGTCGTCGTGGTTATTATGGTGGTTGTTGTTGGTTGCAAAATAATCAACATAACGGTAGTGATTCCTACTCCTAATGCGCATATGCCGAGAAAAATCATTGCAATAATGATGAGCACTTTTGACAACGAGAATGGTTCTCTCTGCTTTGCCTTTGGAGGTATTTGAATGACCTGTGTTGAAGATCTATTAAGATGAAAAGACAGAAGAAAGACATTTTCAGGTTAATGTCATGTCGTACGAATTTTCTTTGTGAAGTGATGGTAAAACAGTTGAATCGGTTGATTGAAGTGATGAAGCAGGTGAAACTTTTCCATTTGCATTTTTCAATTGAATGGTATTCAGATAAACATTTCGGGGTTCTGATATGTTTGTATAAACACTGCTTGTCGATGAACATGATGAAAAACTTTCGCGTACCTCATATACGGATATCACCTAATAAAAAGAGTAACTAATTGTGGAAGATAGGGAAACTTTACTAAATCTACCGGAGTTTCTCTTTCTAGAATAGATCTAAGCTTATGTTGTGAGCGTGGATTCATCTTGACTTGAATATAATTAAATATGAGTATTGAATGAAGAAAAGATGTTTGTTTAAGTACCTACTTTAAATACGAACGAATCATCGTAACCTTCAGAGCTGGAGATGAAGAAAATAAAAAAAGAACAGAATAGAACAAATTAACATATTAATGGAATTTCTCTACACAAATAGAAAATTCAATAGGATTGTGATCATACGGTTTTTTGACAACAGACTGAAGCTTATCTCTCCAGAAATCGTTCTATACTCCGTATTTGAATACTATAGAGTATCATTGATGATTTATCGAGAAAATCCGGAATAAAGTACCTATCAGAGAAATATGCGACTATTCCGAAATTTGCTCGATTACAGCTTTCGTTTGTTGCGTAAATTCGATTGAGCATGTTTCGTCTGATATTTTTGATATCGCTTCCAAAGTATTTCTTCCTATTGTTAGCGCCATGTTCCCTGTAAGAATAATACAATTGTATACTTTCGACAATATTCTCTAAACTAACTTGTATATAAATGTAATCAAATTGACGATATCTTTGTTGTCCAGTATCGTACAAATCTTCACTACACAGTTCTGTCCAAACATGCGCCACTTGAGACATTCACTACCATTATATTTCAAAGTCTTGTGATATTTTTCCTACAATAATGATAAAAACTATTTCAGAAATAGTTTTCCATTTATGTCAAGTTGCACAACAATTAAGACATCAACTAAATGTGACATATTGCAGTCAGACTGATATGATAACGGATCAACAAACCCATTTTAATAGATTAGTGCTCATAATGATTGCAGAAGGTTAAAAAACGAATAATGTTAATGAAAATCTTATCGCGTAATCAATTATTGTGTTCTATCTACTATCTTGATTTTAATACCACATAAAAAGCAATCAACAATCCCCATAGACCATATATATATGAACAAATATAGGAAAAGTGAACAATGACGCGAACTTTACGACAGTAGAACTCGAAAAAAAGTTGCATTAAAGTCCAAAAGCTTCGACACAGTGGCGACATAAATCAACGTGAGTTATATTCTGGTCGTGAATAGTAATTACTATACCGGCGCATTTTTAGCGACTTAAATTCACGGCCATTGACTCGTAGATGACGTGATTCTGATGTAAATGCTCTGTTGTATCACACAAGTGACTTGTTGAAAGGGGTAAATGGCATGTTAACTGAAATCAAAAGAAACTAGGAAAGACTTACCGGATGACATTGATCCAGAATCCATGAAACAGGTATTACTGGACCTGTTTGACGTAGCAGTGTATGATGTCTGAGCAATGTAATTTCTTTACTTTTTATTTGACGTACAACATTTTGTTTTTTAGTATTCGACTCTTAGCATTTAGACTGTCTGCCGCTGATGGAATCTGAGAACATAATACTAGGATGGGCCTTAGCAGGTTTGGTGATGTGATTGGGTGTCAGTTCACAATATAACCAATCGAAAAATAAATAATTGTTATACTTTAATAAGTATATACCATTGATATCATCGGTGCTTTTGAGCATCTTGAGACGATCGACAGTAGTATTTATTAGATTTTGGAGTGATGTGTGCTAAGAAATTGTTGGATATTAATTTCATGCGGAGAGTTTCGATAAACACGTTGATGTGAAGTAGATGAATCAGTAGTGCGAGCTTTCTCTCGACACTTTTTAGATCAAAACGTAAGCTATTAAATTTTCTCTAGAAAAATAAAGAAAAAAAGACGGATTTGCCGTGAGAAGTTAACCTAATTTACATGATAAACCCACATTTTGATAGAGAAGCGCTGATCTCGACCGATATCTATTGGATCGTTTCGATTGGAATTTCGCGAAATTTATCATGAGTGACTGGAGAAAACCAACCAGTAGTGGAATTATCGAGTATGGTTTTATCTTCTGCGTTAAATACGCTGTAAGCTAATCGAATTCTGTGAATATAACCTCGTACTATTCTTTCCCTTCATGGTGAATATAACGAGTTCAACTTAACAATTCGTTCTCTTGCACATTCATTGTTGGTAAACATTTGCCTTACCTATTCGTCAACTCACTAAAGCAACTATATCCAAACGTCGTCCTGTAGGCACTTTTGCAATATGTTCACTGAACCATATCGTTTTGGTTATTGTAGACTACGCCATCGGACGACAATTTTGTCTCATCAAGACCATCTACTAAACATAAAGAAATTTTCAATCAAAAGTGGTGAAAAGCAAAACTTCGTCTGCTAATTCTTCACGGTTAGGCATATAATTTCTTAATTACTTGAACGATGATATCGCACCCTAATTTCATCTAATTTGAACAGTTTTTCGTACTCAATAGACAAATTTTTCAAAAAGTGTGGTATGAAGATTGGGCATGTCAATGGACTACGATCATGTCCATGTATTTCTATTTCAAAGAACTATGCATATCAATCAGTTTATAAAGAAATCCAAGAATATCTTACTCATGCTAAGCTATCTAACATTCAATATCCAAAAGAGCAACATTTACCTCTCATGTCAACAAATCTTTCGCCATACACAGGTTTTTAAAATGTATTACCGTAATCAAACTGTTAGTTGATTCGTAATGGTTATAGCTTCTCATTTGTGCGACTCAGCTCGTCTTCGTAAACGACCACTTGGGAATGGAATTGTACGCCTTTAATACTAGTTGCAGTCTATACTTTGGTGTTACGTTAGTAGGACTCAATATTAGCACCATCGATGCTGATATTTGTGTGCATGGCTTAACTCAGAACAAGCTTAAAGAAGGAGATGACAATCCAGTATATACCTGTCGAAAAGGACGCCTGATCAAAATGTCTTTGTAATTGCTTTTATTTTCAAAGAAAAATAAATTAACTATTCGATGAACTTCAAAACTTGAAGACATAAAATGACATAGTTTTCATATTACAAATATAGCCAACAGTATACTCTATATTCTAACGTTAGCTTTGAATGTGGTATAATATATTATTGAAGTATTTAGTGATCTTCATCAACTTATACTGGTTATCAAAGGCAAAAACTGCTAATAGATTTGTTGGCAATCACACTTATTCTCAAGGGTCTACTTTCATGTTAAGATGATTGTAGAACTTGTATCGATACCTTTGGTGCTGCTGGCATTTGACATACTTGTTGTTGTCGGTTAAGGGAAAATCAACAAGGTGGCAGTGCTTCTACCTCATAATACACACATACCGAGAAGCTGCCCATGAGAACAATCCGTTCTCGTTTGTTTTCGAAGATATTTCAGTGATTTTTATCGAGGATTCATTAAGATGAAGAGATAGAGGACAAAAAAATTTTAACTTTACAGGATTACATTAACATAACGTCTTAGAGATTTTCTGTTTATTTATATAAGTAGTACTTGCTGATGAACATGATAAAAAATATCTTCTAATTCAGCATATACAGTTATTACGTAATAAAGTAATTAACTCCAAAGACAACAAATATCTATCAAACCTACCGAACACTCTTTCTCTTGAACAAATACGAGTCTTGATTGTCGACATGTGTCCATATTGATTTGAATATAATCAAATACGAATTATGAATACGTAAAAAGACATACTCATAGTTAAGAACAGGCCATCATGATACTCAAAGGCTGAGACGAACAAAATGAAATGTCAATTTTTTTACATATTAATGAAATTAGTAGAAAATGTTTTTGGGTGTGATAAATAGCTTTGAAAATCTTTCAATAGCATTTTAGTCAGTTGACGACAAAATCTCCACAATCGAAGTCTTCACTGTTTATAGATATATTTTTTAGCCCATGATGTGTGTAGGCCACATTCTCTCTGATCGTCTCCTTTTGCTGGATCGAAATAGTCCAATTCATTGGGAAGATTATTTTCGATAAGGTACGAGCTCATTTGTTCATCGGTCCAATAGAATAAAGGATTAATTTTGAAAACATGAAATGTGGAATCAAATGAAATAGTATCGAGAGATTTTCGATGAGAATTCTCTGTACGACGAATTCCAGTGAACCAAACTTGAGGTTTCAATTCCTTCATAGCACGTGAAAAGGGTTCCAGTTTCATTAACGCACTAAATTCTCGTAAAGCAGATTCATTGTCAAGATTAATTGGTAATGGACCGAAGAGAGCATCACGACGAGCTGCGGTTAATCGAGGAGAATAAACTTGAAGATTCAAATCGAGAAGTTGTTGAATCTTGTCAACATATTTATACGTTGATGCACGATTGTAACCATGATCAATCCAAAGAATTGGAATGAATGGATTGATTTGCGTGACAATATGAAGAAAAACTGCAGTATACGGTCCGAAACTCGTCGATACAATTGATTTGTCAGATCCAAATCGATTTAATGACCAACGAATAATTTCTTCAGGAGATTTACCGTGCAAGTCAATATTCCACTGATGAATGTCGTCTTCGGACATTTTCTCCGAAACAAGTTTAGTGGTACGATGATTGAAAAAGAGAACGAGTGACTGAATATTTGTTTACTATAGAACATTAACTCATTCAACCATAACTTCACATTTTCTTTTTGTTTTAAGGTATTATATATACCCAAAATTATCTAGTGAAAATAAAGAATCTCCGACGTCGAACTTAATCAGACGTGTAAATTTGATTTTTTCATAGATTATTGTCATCAACTAAGCAAAATAGTTCTCGCATCCGATTACATTTTTCTTACGTTTCTCAGAGTTTCTTCTCAGCCAATATTCTATCATGCGCTCTGTGTATGAGCCACCTGTACTTTTCACCTTCTGTTTATATTAAACTCACACTTGATACTAAACGTGTACTTTACTCATACAGTAACTAAATCTCATGTGCGGTGAGTACTTCCGGTCCGTTTCTACAGAGGCGATTTTTGTTAAGCTTAAGATTTTGTAACGACGTCCATCAAATAATAACAACGTCGTTTTTAATTTGTTGTATTTCCTGGAAAGACAGCTCGTTGATGCGTCTTCCAGAAGGCTAGATTGCGAAACGTTTTCCT